ACACTGAGTTCTTCCTGTCACATTCTGTTTTATTCCTCAAGGTGAAGGAGGTTGTGCTGAAAAGTGGAAAAGTTATCCCAGCTGAAGTTTTGATTGTAGGTATTGGTAAGTGGAAACATATCAGAGTCTTTTATGAGTCTTTTATTAAGCAACACAGAGTTCTTGAAAGCTTTTATAACCAGAATCAGAATCAGAATCAGAATCAGAATACTTTATTAATCCCGAAGGAATATATGTATATATTCACTTAAATTACTGTTGCCAGCATATTGTAAATATGTCTGATGTTAATGTTAAATGACTTGTTGAAATTGTATACAAATAACTGAGTGAAATGACCTGATTAACTGCTCCTATTTTTCCTCCATTAGGCACCATGCCGAACTCAGAGTACCTAAAGGACAGTAAAATACAGATGACCTCAAAAAACTTTGTAAAGGTCGACAAGGTAGGCTAATGGTCAGCGGTTCACCCGATTATCTACAGCACATAAGCCTGACTTGTACTTTTTCCCCAAACTTGTGCTTTGGAACATTGATCATCAGTTCTCTGTGCGTATCCCTCCTGCAGTACATGCACACCAATGTCCCCGATGTCTTCTGTGGTGGTGATCTGGCCATGTTCCCACTGGCCATTGCTAAAAACAGGATGGTTAACATTGGACACTGGCAGATGGCACAAGCACAGGGTAAAGCAGGAAACATATAGACTTAACTGGAAAGTTTCACAAAGAGACTTTGATGCACAAAATCAATGTTTGACATTTACCATGGGAAGCACAAAAGCTGTTAAAATGTCATCTATGGGAAGCGGGACTAAATTCACGAGAATTCTGGGTCAATTTATATTACTTAAAGCTCCAAAACTGACATCAACACTGTCAACCTTACCTTTGCTCTCTCCTTCAGGCTGGAGTGTTTACTAAGCATTCTGATGAATACAAACAATAACAAATTAAATATCAATTTACATATATACATTTTAATTTGTATAATTTTTGCTATTGCTTAAAAATTTATGGTGCTATTGATTCATGGTCTCAAAAACTCATGTATAAAATATGATACACAGGGTGTTACAGGGTAAAATCCCATATATGTCATTTACATGTTAAACTTTTTTGTGTGTGTGTTAAGGGAGAATAGTAGCTCTGAACATGCTAAACAAAACAACTGAACTGAACTCAGTCCCTTTCTACTGGACTGTCCTTGTGGGTAAGACCATCCGATACACAGGTGGGTATACACACACACGTAAATATTTACTGGCACACAAAAAATCAGGTGTCTTATTATCATTATTCATGTGAAGTTATTACATCTTTCTTTTCAGTCTTTGCCATCCAAACTGTTTATTTTACTGCCTGAAAACACTGTAGATAAACCCTCTGTGATAGATTTCATATGTTTCTGCATGCCATTGTTGAATGTTTGCTTTGGCTGTGTGCAGGCTATGGGGAGGGATACACTGAGCTCGTGATAAAAGGACAGTTTGAGGACAGGAAGTTCCTCGCATTGTACATTAAGTAGGTTGTTGTTAAAACTGTATTCAACTGTGATAGAAAAAATGTAACCATTAAATAAATACCCAGATGTGTATGTTTGGAATGTTTTTTTCCCCTGTAGGGATGAGGAGGTCATAGCAGCAGCTGGCCTGAACTTTGATCCAGCAGTGTCGGCAGTAGCTGAGAGACTCGCAACAGGAAAAGTCATCACAAAAGACGAGGCCCAGTATGTAAAATCGTTCAGTTTGTTTTACACTTTGTTTCTATATTCCCATCTTCTGATTATTTTAGTCAAACTGAATCTGAACAATATGACTCCAGAGAGACATGTAGGGAGATTTATTTTTGTGAAAAATGAGCCACGTTTCTTACCTAGAGGTTGGTGGAGTCCAAAAAAAGATCTAACAGAGTTTCATTGTTTAAGTTAGACACCACAGGTGGTCAGGAACATGACTTCAAAGCTGTTTTGAGACATGATGTCCAGACATTGTTCGGATAATCAAGCCATTACCTTGTTTCAAGCTGGCCTTTATTACACGTAGCATTCAAAAGAGATTCAGACAAGTTCTAACTAAACAAATACTCCTTTTGTCTCTGGTGATGGCTGGGATCTGGGTAGAACATGAATGCTTCTCACATGGGCTCAATCAAACTTTTCATAGGCTTTGTAAAAATCTCAGATCACTAAAATTTGAAAACAGTTTTTCATGGCATCATTAGAGACGTCCCTGCATAGGTCTGCATAGGTCAGTGTCTTTTTTGCCCATGATATCATCTTGTTTTGAAACCAAACATGATGAATGAGGTGCATATCTGACTAAGAAATATGGAACACACTTGTTAGCTAGGAGCATCTTAATTTCAAAATACAGCATATCCTGTTTAACACTCAGAAAAAATGTTTCCTGAGACCCTGCTACTTCTAGCAGCAGTCACATCATCAATAAACAGATGATCTGGCAGCCATACATGCCCATGCCCTAACGCTGTCACCATGTTTCAAGTTAATCTTGGTTTCATCTGTCCAAACATTATATTAGAGCTGCATCTTCTCTTTGCATGTTTTCTGGTAAAGTCTGATCTGACCTGCTTGTTGTAAACGCGCTGTGTTTCCATTCTTGAAGGCATCTCTTGATTGTTGACCATAATGATACCTCCTGAAGAGTATTCTTGACTTTTAAATGCTGAATGTTGTGAAGTTGCTTTACATAGCCTCCATCATCCTGCACTTACAGTTTTAAGAATGAGCTAGAATGGTCATTCAGCCACTCCTAATTTTTTTTGGTTTTTCAATCTAATGATGACTCACTCGCTCACTTGCTTTGGTATCTCTCTGGACCTCATATTGGGACTTCCAGGAAGACGTTGTTTCTGCTTAATTTCTGAACGAATAGCAAGAGAACAGACCTTCAAGGTCATATAAGCACCTGACAGTCATCTGAACAATTAACTTTCAGCCTCTGAAAAAAAGGGAGCTATGTATAAAAAAGGTTTTAAAAATGGATGTATCTATTGCAATACTTTTGTTAAACATCTTGAATTAAAGCTGAAAGTCAGCACATCGCATGGTGATTGATTCAAAATTCACTGTGCTGGTGAATGGAGGCAGAATTACACAAGATAAGTGGAAATCCACATAAAAGCATTTTTTGAAATATTTTTTCTCTCTCTGACAGATCAGACGACCTGAGCTGGCTGCAGCTGTCCTGATATTCAGCTCCTTACACTCGTCTGTCCAATGTTCGTTCCTCCGTATGTCTCTTCTTCAGCACGGCTCACAAAAAGGACCAGGGGGAGTTTGGAAATGTGGATTGAAACTTTTCAGTCGGAAGAGACAAACTTCACTTGCGGAGGGAAGGAGCACCAAACACAGTGAAAGCTGCAGTAACAGCTCAGCATCTAATACGGGCTGTGTGGAAGTGCATACCATGCTTTCAGTGTTCATGTGAGGGGGAGTCCAAATGTCAACAACAGATACCTCAAAAAGATGCAGCTTATAGGTCTTCTTTTTTAAATCTAATTTTTTTTGTCATTAATTTAACAGATTTTTTATTTTATTTCATGGATTTATGTCTCCAGGAGTGTTTCAGTAACAGTCCAGAGACATCGCTGTTTAAGATGCCTCAGTATGTTCTCTGCTGTTAGTATTTAAAGCTCACTTTTACTTGGATGGGGCAGCTGGAAAAACATAAGTGACCTTAATGCCCACTACATCCGCGTTCGTGGTCCGGTCAGTGAGTTGGGGGGGGGGGATTAGGAAAACAGAGGCAGCAGTGTTCAGCTCTTTGAAACAGAGATGCTGAAACAGGCAATGGTAACAAAATACACCAACAGCAAACAATAGGCCTGCAGCAAACAACGAACAAAAGCACTGCACAACAGAAATGCTGCGTTTCTCTCTCTCCCCCCGCCTCAATCGCTCTGCTGCTATCTTTAATTCACACCTCAGCTTTTACTGTTCGCTCTCAGCAGGATGCCTCAGTTCACCCAGGACCTTTCAGGGCCAGATCCAGTTAGTAGTACCAGTAGTGATATTTTAGGTGGTAGTAGGTGGTAATGGCTTTTTTTTCTCTCTGTACTAATGTTGCCTGTCAAAGATTTAGTTTTTTTTTCTTTGCAAAGGGCAGGCTAAACAGTTTTTTTTATTAGCATTTGAATTGAAACTTGTTGCTTGCCATTTTAATAAAATTGAAGCTCTTATCTTATGTAAGAGAAATAAAAATTGGCTAATTGTGCAAACCTAAATACAATGAAAATCAAGCTCTGGTGATGCAGGGGGAAAATGGCTAATTTTACAGAGAATTATGGATAGAGCAGGTGTATTTCATTGCACAGGAGATGACTGACTCCTGTGATATTCAAGTTACCTCATTTCTGTATGTACAATGCATTTACAGTATAATGCTGTAAATTCACAGGAACCCAGTCACTCTGTAACAACGAGTAATCTATGATATCCTCGGTATAAGAACATTATTAGATTTGTTTTCTTGAGGTGACAAGAAGAAGACACATTGATGAGCATCATCAGCCCTCTTGTTAGTAACAGCGTTGTTATCATTTCAAAGTGATTCTTGATGCCAAGAGTAAGAATAAAAGTGAAGTACTTGTCATTTAAACATTTTTGTCTTGTTTTTAACTTTGAATTAAAAAAAACCTCAGGCATATCAGTTTGGTCTCTGTTGTATTTAGTGACTCATGAGAACATATGATTCACTCAGAGAGGGACTGTTCTGACATCTATTGTCCACCAGTGGTAGTGTTCCTACACAGAGTGGACAGAAACAGGAAGTAATCTGTCCCACTTCATAAATGTACACCTATAATTACACTTAATTCTTTATGCGATTTGAAGGACATTTAAGATGTTGTATGTTACTGCATTTGCTCATCAAACGTCTTAGAGACAGTAAAAGATCTATAACACAAAGAGCCTTAAGCTGCATCCACACATGAAGTGATTTCGAGTTATGTGGTGACCAGAAACCTTTGAAAGCCAATGAAACTTGGTAGCAATTGCAGGTTTTAAGAAACCCCCCCCCACTAGTGACACAAAGTGGGCATGTCCCGAGATAAACTTCTATGCAAGCAACGGTGATAGCACAGGATACCTATGATACACATATGACAGGGTAGTAAAGAACATTAGATCAAGGGTGTCAAACATAAGGCCCGCAGGCCAGGATTAGACCAGCAAAGACTCTAATTTGGCCCACTAGACAACTATAGAACTATAGAAATGTATGTTTTTTGTATGCTAAACGTCTTCACATTGACACAAAGGGGAGTGTCTGGCCCACTTATGGCCAAATTGGTTTGTATGTGATGCAACATGCAAAATCAGTTTGACATCCTTTCATTAGAGGATTGACATATGACAGGGTAGTAAATACATTATAGGGTTACCTAGGCAACCACAGCCTGGAACGTCTACTAGTAGCCAAACATCTGTGTCAAAGTGATGCTTTACAGACAAACTGCTTCCTGTGTGGACGGGGAGACATCATACTATAATTAGTTTATGCATATGTATGGATGTATGTTTGCATGTTCCCTATTTCCTCCTGGGGGAGTGGAGCCATCTTGATGAAACTTTGCATAAACATTGCTTAGGGAACTGCGAGTGCCAGCATCTATTATGCATATACAAACATTTTCCAAAAATCACATATACTGTTAAGAAAGAATTTAATGAACACTTTATATTTAGACTACAGCATCAAGTCAAACTTCTAGAATATTGATCTGTTCAATTAAGTAATTGAAGGGGTTGTTAATATGTTTTAGCTGCTTTGACAAAATTAACAGCAGGTGGACTAGAGGGACAACAATGAGACAAGCCCCAAAACAGGAATGATTTTACAGGTGGAAGCCACTAACATTTTTTTCCCTTCTCATCTTTTCTGATTTTTTTTCAGTAGTTTGGCATTTGCATAGCTCATATATGTATGTATATTTGTATGATCTTTATCTGCTGCATGTAGCGTGGTGATTTTCTTGCCTGCATAATTGTGCCTATAAAGTTCAAATGTGATAAACAGACACCCACTGCCATTTATCAGTAAGGGATTTAGTGTTACACAGTTAACAGTTTAGAGGAGCAACAAAGAGAAATAATGAGTTCAGGACTTTGCACATTAAATTGTTGCTCCATCGTGTCACCAACAAGCTTTTTACTGTGTTTACTGTATTGTGCTTAGACTGACAGCAGAGCAGCGCTTTGTTACAGTCACATTGCCACCCCCTCTCTGCTGGACATCTTTCTTTGTGGTTCTCATGCTGTAATGGATCAGCCCCCCTTCACTTCACTGACAGATGTGAGTTGGGTTCATGTTATGTGATCTCGACCGGGTTTTTGCCCTGAAAGATCAACTTAACTTCTTAAGGTGTGGTCAGCAGGAGGCGTTCTTGTCGTGAAAGCTGTGGCATTGTGGTTATGTACTTTGAACCTAAGCATTTCTGTTGGGGCGTTTTAAAGGGTGTTCAGCTGCTCAGTTTCTCTTTGGTCCAGTGTCTTAACAGCACCCTAGGATCTTTACTTTGTGTCTCACACTGCATAAATCTATTTTAAACTGTGAACAAATAAATCCCGAGGCCACTAACAGCATAAGGCTCTCTTTTGCTTCTTTAATTCAGTGTCTGCTCAGCTGCAGTAATGACGCAGCCTCCTGCTGGTCACATTTAGCTGGAACCTTTTTCTCTTTAGGAAAAGTCTGTCTTAAGGCGTCCTGGGTTTCTTTTAACAGAGCCTCTCTGTGTGCAATGTACCGCTGCCGCCTGTTGGCCCTGTACTGCTCCAGTCTCTTTGCCTCAGCCTGGGGATCCTGCAGCACTCCCTCCCACCTCAGGCTGAGAGTCTGAGCTGGGAGAGAGTGCTGCGGGACATTGAGCACTGTCACGTATCCCTGAGCAGAATCTCCGTTTCCATCGCTTTTATGGTTCTCTGTCAGCGTGGCTGGAGAGTCCTTGCGGTGATTTTCCCTCTTTCGTTCTCGTTTCTTCTTAGTGGAGGCTCTGATCTTGGGAACCTGGTCTTGGGACTGACCCGGACTCTGAGGAGGCACAAGGGCCAGCGGCAAGATGTCAGGAGGCAAAGATACAGCCAGAAGTTTCTCTGTAGGGAAGCATTATAAACATGTAGGGAAACTAGCAAACAAAAATGAGGCTTCCTATTACTAATGACTTCCTATGGAGATTAAGGACTTTTGGCTTGGGTTACAGTAGAGAGCTATGATAGGTTAATGAGGAGGCACGGGGTCGATTCTCTAACGACCTATTCAAGTGATTTGAGGGATGAAACATGAGGGTCAGATGTTTTTCCATGCCTTTTCTTTTTTTTCTTCTCTGTAGCATGACCAATAATAAATCAATGCTGTGCTGTGAGAGTTTCAAGAGCTTTTTATTAGGTCACAGTTTATCATTTCAGAATGGTTTCTGTACTAGCTGGTAGCATGGACTCCATCAGAAACATACATTTCATGGTCTGCTTCTAATATCCTTTCAATAACAAAAAATGTGGCACTGTAATTTAATTTCCTCTCCTCTAACGTGCCCTCGAGGCACAAATCTAATTTTCAGTGCTTTTCAGCACAAGGACTTCATTTTTTGGTTGTCTTTGATTCAGAGATAGGCAGGTAGATCCATCACATATTCTTTTCATAAACTTTCAGTGTAGTGATTTTACTAGTTAAGGGAAAACACATAATATTATATATGAGTCAGAAGTTGAGTTCCACTAATAAAAAAAAGAGAATAAAATACCTGCATTTTCACAGTTGGAAACAATGCCTTTGTTTCTTTTCTTCTTTGTCTGCATACTGGTGTCTCAGTGCCGATGAGTAGGTCTGCTCACGCCAAACCAACTGATGAACAGGATACAATTCTTCTTAGATTATTCTTCTTACTCACTGCAGGCAAGAAACCTCGGTGGAAACAAGTAGCCTGTCAGCAGCTGCCCTTCAATCTTATTTATTTAAAACAAATACGTTTTCTACAAACGGGGGGAGATGGGCTAAGTACTGCGAGCTGCAGAGCTACCTTTTGTGCCTCACAATCACGCTACACCGCCAAGTTGCCAAGTGACGCCTCTCCATGGCAACAGGACACACCTTCCCAGAGAAGAATGTCTTCGGGTCTCGTCGACACGTCAAACGAAGTAAGCCGAATTCGAGCTGCACTGTTCGTCTTTGCTCTGTGATCCTGACCGTGCTGCCAGCTGCCAGTGAATCAATCACTTTGACAATGAAGACATTTTAGAAACAGAAGGAAGAACCTCATAGACTTTATTTGTTTAGCTGTTTTTATCTGACGCATTAAGTTTGCTGTTGATTTGGGAACCACGAGAAAGTTGATGGGAATCACGGGAAATCATGAGAAAGTTGAAATTGAAAACAAGTCTTATTTTTGTCTTCTGGGGAATACAGTGACTTGCATGAAGCCAGTGACAGACAGATATTCTGTATTTGAAATCGGTACGTTGCACACATCATGAATAATGTGATTGTTGCCCAGGGTTAAAGCAGTTGACCCCGACGTGATTTGAACACGCAACCTTCTGATCTGGAGTCAGACGCGCTACCGTTGCGCCACGAGGTCTGCACTGTGCAACAAACAGGTAAAAAAAATAAAACACTGAAAGAGCTACGAGCCTCTGGGCAGTGACATAATCTTTAAAAAATAGTTTCTATTTTCAAAATCAAAAGAAAAAAACTTTGTCATTGTGATTATTTAAGTTTATAAAAAGCTGGAAAGTAAAAAAAAAAGTGTTTTAATCATGTTTAAGGGACTGAATGCCATCTGTAAAACTTTCGTCCTTCACACTCCTGCATGGGGATTTCAAAGCACTTCCACTGCATGCTGTGTGGTATTTTCTAGGGAGTTTCCATCCTTTTCCTGTTCCACAGAGTCGAGGTCACCACTGGTTCCTTGTACTGCACACACATCTGCCTTTTCCCGTAATTATTAAGTGTTACACGCACTTTAACCTTCCTATTAATTTCCAAGTAGCTAATTTTGGCCCCCGGGCGCTATGCTTGCTCTGCTCTTAAACGCTAAACGCAGCAGTGCTAAAAATAGACTCAGTGCTGGATTTCAAGCGGGTCTGTCCTGGTTCTGTATTTCCCCCACATATCTGTGATCTTCCAACAAGAACTACAGGAGGAAAAGGGACAAACCATCTGCTGAGTCACAGAGGACACGTAGCATTTATGCATGCAGTGGTGACAAAGTTCAGAGTGAGACACGATAGAAAGGTTTTTAAAGTCCTCTTTTTCCAAACGACACTGTTGGAACTGTCAAAAATAAAAACACTTTTAAAAAAAACAGGATTGCATAAATGAGCAAGCAAAACTGATAAATCATGGGCAAAACAACAAAAGAGATCAAGTTTCCACAGCTAAACACATGAAACACGTGAACCACCTTTGACCCAGAATATTACATTTTCCACTTCTAGGTCATGTGACTGTGTTACATTTCATGCGTTTTGACCCATGCCTCTGTCACGTCTTGCGCTGGTGTGCTTACACTCTGGCTGCGGTGGAGGAAGATGTGACTCGCGTGCTTCTCCATCTGGTGCAGACATAATTACACAAACAGATTTTTACATGCAGTAAGTGCACTGGCATCTGCTTGTGAGGCCACTGTCAACAACAGCTCAAGTGCTTTTACAAACATGACAAGTTAGATTTTTTTTGAAGGTGCATTAAATAAATCACAATCCTGTAACAGTAGGTGTTTTACAGATGAGAGTTCATTACTGGTATTCCCCCAGGCACTCTAGACATGTATAGCAGTTTTCAGAGAGCACTTAGAGTTAAATATATAAGACACAGCTTATTATCTGGGCTGGATTTCTACCTAAAATAATTATTTATGGCATACTCAACACTGGGAGTGGCACAGTAGATTGGCTTTTCTTTGTTTCCAATACTGATAGCATTTCCCAAAAAAATCCATATCCGAGTGGTAGGTCACTATGGTCTTGTAGGAACTCATGAAGAATTTGGGAATTTACAGGGGTCAAAATCATCTTAATACACCTTACTCATATTCTGTGGGAAACGCTGTTCTAAAAATATTCATGAAAAAGGAAGAAGACATTTGAAAGTGGCCTTGTGAGGATTTGCTGCGTGTCCTCAGTGTGTCAGGTGACAGTGAGGAAGCAGCTTTTCAAACTGCACCAACCTTAAAGCTGCAGAGTGACAAGCCCAGGTTCACGCGAGAGAGACAGAAAGAAGCAAGGACTGAGAAGCAGTCACTGCTGCGTGAGCGTCTGTGTGCGTCAGCACTGAGAGGGTAACTAATTCATCTCGACCTGCTGATGTCTCCGGAGGCCTCTTGCAGACTCGTATTAATAGAACAACAGCACAACTTTTGTGCAAATAGTTGTCTGTCAAAAGTGGAATCCTGCTTAATCAGCACTAACACTGAATTGTTCACATATCGACGGATCATGATTCCTGTTCTTCCAGAGAGTTAAACTGAGGCAGAAGTGTAGCATAGCTTTTAAATCTTTTTTTCTCCAATATGAGAATAGTTCCTACTTTAAAACTGAGCACAACAAGGTTTGTGGATTTATTGGGTTAATCGGGCTTCTGGAAAGAGACGCTGCTTTTAAATGTATTTTTGTTGCATTGAGCAGAACAAGGCATGTGCTCTCCGGTTCCACTATATCCAAGAGAAGACACAAAAACTGGGAATCTCAAACCAACAAAATCTGGGATCAACAGTCCTGCCAGTCAGGGGGGAAGAAAGGTTTTTAGGTAAACTGTAGCTTTAAAACTTTAAACTTATTGTAAGTGCTTATCAAATTATGCTTTTTATAAAAATGTGGTAGCATTTCATAACACAGCCCATTAGGAATTAAATGGAATTTCACTGTATTTTGTTCTGAAATTACAGAGCAATGATATTTAACAGTATATTTTACATTACAATAAAAGGGTAGCAATTCAAGTTTTTACAGGAAAGAAAAAAATAGTTAAACTATAGGTAATTTTAAGTCGTGCATAAGTTCTAGGTAATTTGGTGGAAAACCCAAACAACGTTTCTGCATTTGTAAATTTTGCATTATGACGTATTACCCGCTGCCAAGTATCCATAGGTAATTAGTAATTATAATGTTATTTCTAAAAGGGAATTACACCGTTAGTCACAGACCAGAAAAAAACTGCCTGAAGTTTCAATAACTGTCGTGTCGAGTGCAAAAAGAAATGTGATGATTTTGAGCATCAGATGTGAGGACTTCGTAATTTACTGTCCTAATTGGGTCTTTTTGTTTGTAATTAAACACATTAAACAATTAATTCATCATTGCACTATTTCCAATAACCTATTAGCTACACTCTCATATGGAATCCGCCCACTCAACAAACAGTAGTAAATGCACAAGTAATGATAATCTAATGGAAAGTGTGTCGTGTCATACAGCATGTGTGACAGCATCTATATAGTACTTATGTGCGTGTTTTCTACTTTAGGCAGGGAAATAAAACCTGACGTTTTAGCGTGAGTTACTACAAACAGGTCAATCTGCTGTCTCACGGCATGCACTTGTCTTGCGTGTACACGTCAGATCCGTGCAGGTTTTGACGTCCGTTTCTCGTGCAGGCCCACGTCATCACGCTGCCAGCTGATCGGAGTGGGAAGCCGGGTGTGTGTCTCGCCTGGGTGTGTGTGAGAGTGAAAGAGAGAGAGAGAGAGGCAGAGAGACACAGAAAGAGAGAGAAGGTGGGGGGGGCATTCGTTGTGTAAAAGGGGCTGAAGTCCTGCGCTGTCTTCTCCGCTGCTGCTGCTGCTGCTGTGTGCTCCACACACTTAAACGCTGTCAAACGTTTCCGTAGCGCGGACGCAAATTTTTTCCACAGACAGCGACACACCCAGGCGGACTCCGCCGAGCAGTGGGCGAGGCAGCCTGAACTCCGCCGGACCGTTCAAGACGTGCCGGAGCGGGCAGGAGCGACCCGGCTGCTGTTGGTGGTCAAGGTGGGGCGTATTACTCAGTGTGTGTGTTTCTGCTGGCTGAATGCTTGCTCTTGTCAGCCTGGTTTAGCCTTTGGCGGCTTGATGACCCAGTTTACGTGGAAATGGCAAATGGGGATGCGTCCTTCTCATACTTTATTCAAGTGTAATTCACCCCTGCTGCGGGTTTTCCGCGAATCGGCGTCGTCAGATTGAGGAGGGCATGGATTTGATGTTTTAGGAGTTGTGGTTGTGAATGCCTGTGTGTGTGTGTGTGTGTGTGTGTGTGTGTGTGTGAGAGAGAGAGAGAGAGAGAGAGAGAGAGAGAGAGCAGGCCCTCTAACACAGGGGAGCTCATAGGATTTATGAGCACCTTAGAAATCTGACATTTGGCCATCCCACCATAAGAACTTAATTTCCATAGGTGGGCAAGAGCTTTCCATTTATTTTATTTATTTACAGCCAGCAGCTGTAATACTGCATAAATGTGCAAATATTATATTAGTCATCTTTAGTCCTACATTAATACAGAAGAGAGCAAAAAAAGCCTCTACAAGCACACAGACAGCCTTAGTGAAAATGTTCAGAGCTGTTGTTCTTTTTTTTTTAAATTAATATTGATGTTTAAAACGTCTGCCATGAGTGTAAAACTAAAGCGCATCCATCCAAATCAAAAGCTGGATTTGGAGGCTACAGCAACATGTCTGCGTTAAAACTTCACATTAAAAAGTGTCAGCACTCAAAGCCTTTTTAAAATCTGCTGAGTTCATAGCAGGCCAAGGAAAAAGCCTGCGCTCAAGTAGGGGATAGGTGAAAACCAGGATAACTGAGGCCGAGTCATTTCTCAGAAATGCAGTGACACCCGCCGTCATCTGGCACAGATGGGAAGATTCTTCAAGTGGAAGATGAGTTTATAAACACGACTTTGTAACTCTGGATGTTTATAAGGAGCAGGATAACATTCTTTAAGCTGCTGACGCAACAAAGCGTATGTAGGCCTTGCTGCCCAGGCCCTCCAGTCTCCTCATCTCATATATATATATATATATATATATATATAGGGTTTCCCTTCAGCCTGCCTCATTTGTATAAAACATCTTAAAAGCAAAGTGCAAATATGCATGGGATAAATGGTTAGAGGGCAAAGCTTGCTGTAGTGTCTGTTACATCGATGGAGCATGTCTTACATAATTGTGCAGCCAGAGTTCAGTGTGCCGGTAGGAATGCGCAATAGACTGTGTCACGAGCTGCATTTGTGCCATTGCAACCCAGAGTGTGACATAAGCTGCCCTGTCAGTGAGAATCACATGGCAATGACAAGATGTCCGTTAAAAAGCAACTCATCTGTGTTGTTTCCTTTGCATCCAGGCAAAAAAAAAAAAAGAACGAAAGAAAGAAAAAAAGCAACCTCCCCCTGTGCTGTGTTGCTGCCTTCATTTGCAGAAGTGAAGCCATCTTGCTCAACTTGGGCTACACCCTTCATTCCTACTGCGTGCCTTGTAAAGGGAGGATGGGGCAAGAAGGGATGTGTTATGTAGGTTCACTAAAGAAAAAAGAAAGAAAAGATCCAGCGCTTTAAAACAAAATGGCACAGACTGCCTGAGGACAGGCTTACAGGCCTCATGCTGCACATTACCATTTCCAGGCAGTGTCATGAATTCAGAGTGGCATTCAGACACTCCTGTTAGCAAATAAAACAGCCTACACTCCTTATTCGTGGTGATCTCAGGGTTAAAGTCAGATAGCCTTTAAAGTCCGGCAAACGGAGATCAGCAGAGTGTAAGAACGGGCCCTCTGCTCTATGAAGAGCGCTGCCAAAGCCACCGCCCTTTCTCTGTCTTTGTCCCCATTCCCAGTCTGAAATGTTCACTCTGTATTACAGACTACAATCTGGGACAGTAAACACTCTCAAGCAGGGCCACACCCACAGCAAAGGAATGCACCTGAATTGATATATGCAACAGATGCATAACGTTTAATTATCCTCCGTTTTCAGTCACTGAGGTGTAGCAGCATTCAAACCCCTGTCGCTGTCTCTCCAAACGTGGAGATAACTGCAGCAAAGTCACAGTCATGATCGAAGTAATCTTATCTCGACCCTGAACGTAGAGGTCAAAGAAGTAGGCTCAAAGCATGGTAAGAGGTCTCTGTCTGTCTCACCTAGTCTCAACTTTGCACTGTATGTTTTTGTGTTTTCTCTTCCTCACCTTCAGCAAAATGTCCCACCCACATATCATGTAACTTCACTTCACTTCTCTTCTCTTCTCTTCTCTTCTCTTCTCTTCTCTTCTCTTCTCTTCTCTTCTCTTCTCTTCTCTTCTCTTCTCTTCTCTTCTCTTCTCTTCTCTTTCTGTTTAGCATAATTGTGGGCTAAAGTCTGATAAGAAAACCTCCTAAAGAGTTAAAATGTCAGCAGTTCCTCGGTTTGTACATGGTTCATTTACACCGTCCTGTTCACAACCATCATTCCTATTTCTCATTTCTATTTCACGTCCTGCCCATTCAACTCCACTGTGTTTTTCCTTTTTCTTATCCCATTTTGCTGTGGCAGAGAATGCACATCGACGGTCCCAGATAAACTCAATCCTTTTTGTATTAGGCTGTTTGTTATCTGTATATAAGCCTGTCTCAAGGCCTTCGACAAAACCCCCCGGTACTGTCTGCCTCCCTTTCTTGGATGATGCAGCCAGAAATAAAGAGAAGGGGGTGGGGAGGGTCAAACCTGACAGTGAAGCCTCAGCCTGGACAGTCCAGATGTAGATGAGTAGAGAGACAGGCGATGGGTAAGGAACAGAGCGATGGAAAAAAAGGAGTGGAGGAGACTATGCGAGCCCACAGCAGCCAGATGGAATTTCTAACATACGCAGCAGGAATGTCAGGAATGCAGGACAGTCTGATCTGACCAAGGGAGAGGGTGGAGAGGACAGACGAGTCAGGAAAGACAAAAAAAAGAAGAAGAAGTGGAGATATAGGAAAGAGTGGCACAGCAAAAGAGTCGGGAGACTCAACACTGGCTGGCTTTGTTAACATAAAAATACAGAGTCACTTTTCGTGGAGGGAGTGGCACGCGATGGAACAAATAAGCAATTCAGTTTCAATTTTGACGCTGTGGCAGTCATAGTGAACAGTTAACACTGCGAGTACTCCTGAGGGTGGCCCGGGGACTCGTACTGCACGTCCTCTTCACTGACTTCATTCAGAAACTTTTTTCCTAACTGCTAGTGGCTTGTTTCCAGAGATGCCAGTGTCAGTTTGTCAGTCTGTCATTCTGTTGATCCCGCACTTCCGCAAAGCCTGCAGTACAACAGCTGGCATGAAACTTGATGCGTGCATGCTAAGACGATAAAGTAAGGTGGTGAAAATTACTTTGGCTAAACGTCAGCACATTTGCATTGTCACTGAGTGCCTTTAAACATAATGGTTTTAGTTTTTACTCTTATGAAAGACCATGGACCCCGCACACATTAAGAGGAGTCAGACTAGAATGAAAGTTGCTCAGTTGCACCTATGGTCCAAACTCACTGACTAGCATAATTTGTGACTGAGTTATTGGCCAATTCCCACACAACTGAATAATCCTACTTCCTGTCTCTTAGATTAGAATGACTATACTGGTCATTCTAAGACCACATAGTACAAAATGGACTTCATTTTTCATTCAATGTGACGTGAAAGTAGTGATTAAGCCCATAAAGTCAAAAAGAAAGCATTGCAGAGTGCAGAAGTGGACGGCTGTTTTCCCCATAGACTTCAATGCAACTAGAAGTGTTTTTGAAACCAGAGAAGTCGCCCTCTATCTGCCATTAAAAGAATGCAGGTTTGAGACACTATCATATTGGCTTCACTTTTTAGACCTGGAAGATTCACCCATCTTTTATGCTTTTATGTCATTAAAATCGTCAGTTGAGCTGATGGAGAGCATGTGCACAGGACTCCTGCCAGCCTAGCTTGAGGGTTTCCTAAACACAGGAATGGAATAAAAGAAAATAGATATACGCCTTCTAGTCTTTCCAAATGTTATTAACCCCAATTGATCAAATTCAGATAATATGCTGAAGTTATAGCGCAACCTAGCGCTGGTCCTAAGGCTTTCTGTTAAAGGAATTCCACAAAGTGAGTTGTAGCAACGTGGCAACCAGAGACCACAGAAAATCAGCTAGAAACTTAATTCAAGCGATGCGGGCAAAATTACTGCTCATGACACAAAGTGGTTGGGTTAAACTTTCTCCACCTTAAGCTCCTGAAAGTGAAGGACACCTTTGACTGAAATATGTCAGGCTAATAAATAGAGGGCTACCTAGTGAACTGAAGCCTGTTCAGTACCACAGCGATGATGACCAGCAACAAATACTAATGAGGGAACTTTCATCTAGTGCACTGTCTCCACAGTTCTTATGGAGAATGAGTGAATTTGCCTGCGATTGTCATGATAGCTGCTACATTTTGCAAATATTTCCAACTGGTTCCACCTCTGACCATGCATGCTAAATTCTCCTAATGCGATGACGTCACTTTAACACCGATAACCATCAAACAATAATGGTACAACGCATGTAACACCGACTCGCGTTTAGCTAAAACCACTGGTAGCATTTAACATTTAGCATTTAGCTAGCATTGGTGCTCAGGATGTATCCTCCTGCTGCTGATTCATTCTCAGTGAATACACTTGCGCACTTGGAGCAACATGGATATAAAAGAATGTGGTTGGTTTTGTTTCCTGGGGGCCAACTACAGCACAGCACTAATTAAAAGTCCTCTGTAGCCCTAAAGAAAAATCAACTCCCCCCAGTGGCTATTGTATCTGTAAAACTGATGATTGCACAATTTAAGTTGCATAAAACCTCTTTCATGACCTTTTCTGCAGTGGAATTTAGTATCTATAAAACAATTGAAGGGCTTAGGAAAGCCATTAAATGGTCATGAAAAATAAATGTGAAGTCCACAGGTGGGGACAAAATGGAAGCAAACCAGGAAGAAGGAAGGCTTTTCGTTGCAATCGTCGCACTGCGTCACACCAGTCACATTGAATGTTTCATTTTAAATAAACAAATCAGACTGTTTACAAAAAAAGATAAGCTCGGGGTGTGGAGGTCAGCAATAATGTCAAATACTGAATCCTGAGAGATGGGGGTTGGGGTAGGGGGCACAGAGAGCCTAACTCCTGAAAGAGAGCAAAGGTGAAAGTCCTTTCTTTAAGATTCAAATGAACTAAAACCATTTCTGAGTAAATAAAGTAATCAGATGCCATCTTTTTAAATCAAATATCTGACGCAGAATTGGGAGGGTACTTAAAAAAAAAGATAATACACTTCATTCCTGATACTTTTACCAGTGCACGTCATCAACGAGTCAGAACAGGCAGGCTGCTGACTCACCCACTTCAGAAAAAAATCTGACGTTTGACATGAGCATATCTGTCCTAGTGGCTGGTTTTCTGTGCACACCCAGTAGATTTCATGTCAAAGCTTTGTGCATGCATAGAAATGACCCCTCAACTTGATGTTTGAGTAAAATCCAACTCAGTTTGAGGCAAAATGATTTCTACCCATGGCCACGTCTCTGGCATTTTCATAAATCTTGCTGATTGAGACCCACACAGCCCCACCGTGCACAGTCCACAGGGCCATGAACCACCTGAGATTATTCTTGCCCTCCTTACAGCAGGAATGTGCAGCATGTGTTACTCATCGTCGATGGGAGAAGTGGAGCATGTCCTCAGTATCTTAAGATCAACACAAAATTGCATTCTTTGAAGGCTAGAAAAACACTGAGCTACTTTACTTCACATGTGTTTGGCTGCAAGTGGTTAGTTTTCAAACTCGCTGCATGTGTATTTACTTCTTTGCATCAGCTCGAAACGCTTTCCAAGCCCTCGGGTCTGCATTGGAGTGAAATTCAGAAATAAGTTACAAACTGTCAAAATTAAAAATGAGAAGAAATAAAAATGTGGGGTAAAGACTAGAGCCAGTGTATTTACTTGGTAGTGCTGCATAAAGTGAAGTCAAGGCGGATGCATGTTTTTGGTTATGGCAAACCATTGTTTGGCCATTCACCCAAAACTACAAAGTAGATCTACAAAGTTCAGTAGGATTCAACCATTCCTATAAAGCAAAAAAAAAAAAAAGTATATTTAGAGAGTTTCTAACTACTGAAAATACTTCTTTTGTTTCTGGCAATAGCTGTCATCTGGTCAGAAGATGCGTACCCCGAATATCTGAGTCGATTGATTATGACATTTGTTTTCTCAAATGAGTGTCATTTGGGTAACGTGAAAACAGCGAAAAAATCTGGCACACACTATTTGATAGACTGTACATAAAAGATCGCTGTCACACAATTGTTAGTAAAGTCACGTGGGAAACCTTAAGCAGCGTGTTTTGCAGTCACAGTTGTGTTTTAACAGCGAACATGACATTAGAAGCCAAAGTACTCTGGGTTTAATCTCTTTTGGGTAAGGGGACTAAGACTTGAAAAAAGTTATTAAGGCTGTAAATTCATGAGAAAAAGTATTAGTATCATCATAGAAAAGGAAGCAAAGAATAATTTTTCCACAGACTTTAACACTGTTGCACTTCTTTTTTCGTAGCCAGTGGATCTGCCCCCTCTGGCCATTAGAAAAAATGCAGCTTTACTGGACGCTACATCCATCTTCTATATACAGTCAATCGCCTGGACCATGCTTCTAGCAAGGCTGGAAAATTCTGTTTAGTTACTTTAATTTAGATATGAATCTTATCTTTGTTAGTTAGCCTGCTTAAACCGCGTAGTCAGCTGTACAGTTACAACATACCACTAGGTTAGATGACAGCTCTAATTTAGATGAGTTATAGTACAGGTGTTTTCTGGAACACACCCAAACTTTTTTAAAACTTCAAAAACAAATATTTCTTTGGACTTCTGCAGGGTCTCTTCTCTCTTGTACGGGCTGTCTGCTCCTATTCAGCGCTTCTCGCTCATCCTTTGTAACCACGGTAACTGACAAAATTTCTTTTTTTTTTTTCTTGTTCAGGAGGCTGCTCTCTGAATGCGAGCAACCTGTAACTAAAAGAATGTCTAAGAATTTCTCGCTGGCACCGTATATCGTGCAGAGGCAGCTGAGCCGCTGATCCGCTTGTCCATCCTGGTGATCTGACGCATGATCTTGTGTGCATCTCCCCGGGCACTTTTTTTCCTTTGCATATCAGCTCACTTCACCCACTTACTCACAGCTGATTGCACACACTGTGATTCGACTGCACCCACTTACTGTACGTGTGTGACTGGCTGTATGCCACCTCATGCCCACGCTACTAAAGCAGGGAGTTTGTAGGGGAAGTTAAACAATCTTTTCTTCTCTTTCTGCAGAAATACATGCACCTAAAGCCAGAGGAAGAAAGAGGAAGGAGTCACCATTTGCGCCTTAAAGCGGATTGTGCATCACTGCAGGCTCTCTCACGCTCACCGGCTTCATACCAGCTGATGCACAGCAGTTCTTCACTGGCAAGCTTTATGTTTCTGTACACATGCTAAAGCTGCCAGCTGAAGAACTGCTCTGGCCAGCTCTGCTCCCGGAAGGCTCAAGAAGAGGAAGCAGATGACGGGTGATGGGAATTTGGCTGAAGAGGACTTTTATAACCTGTAAGATTGGACCAGAAACATTGTATAGATTATAGGCAGACATGTTATCCTTTTCCCACCAAAAACTGCTTGAATTGTGTTTTTTATGTCTTTTAATAAAGCACAAAATATTTTCTCAGATGTGTTGTTGCAGTCACGCTATAGACAATAAAGTGCATACCAGCACTGCATGTTCTCTCGTCCAAAAATAACAGCACACTCACAGAGAGGCACATGACTACGCAAAAATGTGTCACACCTAATGGCTTTTAAGTATCTGCTGATCCCATCAAAGGAGAGCAACAAAGGATCAGAGTAAATTAAGATGCTCTTTAAATGCTAAATTGTCAAAGCAAATTGGTTTCAGATCTGCAATAACTGCCCGGTCTTTGTTCTCATGTTAAGTCAACACGATGGCATTCAGTCAGGACTGTTTGTACCCAGTTGGATTGCTGTTACATATAAACCAGAAAGAGAAGAGAAAAAAACTTCCCTAATGTCTGTTGTTCAGAGCCTAAAGGCATCACCAGCTGCTTTAAGGAATTCCTTCACAGCGTGTTCAAGGGTGAACTCACACGATTGTCAAACTGGGAGAGGCCCTGAAATTGGAAAAAACTATGTATAGTAAAGCAAACTACTTCTTTTTTTATGTAAAGGATAAAAATGTATAGTTGTTTCAGTTTTTCTTTCAGAGTTAGTAAGTTGATTAAAAACAAAAATCAGTCACATTATGCTGATGTAATGTTTCAGCAGTACTTCAAATATACATATGACTGGAAAGCACATTCAGCACATTTGGCAACTTTTGCGGTTTGTTGGGCTGAGAAATCCTGAGTATTTTGTTCCACGCTGACAAACAGGGATTTGAAAGACGAAAGTAGAAGTTGAGAGTTGTTAGCGCAAACAACTTGATGATCTTAGTGCAGTGTCACAAAATCACCACCAGATGTCAGGATGCTCTGCAAAAACTAACATGGCTGAGAGCGACGGGGAGCCTGATCTCACTGTAGGACAGATATACACTGATGAGTCACCCATATAGTTTAAACAGTATTAATGAATTGCATCTTACTATGTTAGAAATTGCTAGAAGCAGATGATAGACGGAGAAGAGAGTAACTGTATGAGTCAGGAGTGGCATAGAAGTATGTGAGGGTAGCATTTTTATTCCTCGTCCTCGTGTCCAAAATCTCGAGACAGTCTCACATTTTGATTGGTTCTCCAGGAGATCAGGTTAATCAGGTTTTTACCCAGCGCATGTGAAGGGGAGGCTTTTCGTTGTAGCTAGAAGAAGGTTATTCATAAGGAAAGTTACAAGATAACGAAAGTGACGAGCTTTGCAGATTTTATCCACCATGACTGAAAATAGCGCACAGAAAATCAGGCGGCTCTATACTCCGAGAAACAGGAATTTTGTGTTTTTTAATTGCTATTTCTTTTAAGTTTTATTAGTTTTTATTTGTTATTTTTCAGATTTGCAAAGGGGGGTGGGGGTGCGCTGTGAAGTGTGTGCGTCATAATTGGATAAAAATTGATTACATTGTCAAATGTGGCTCAAAAAAGTCTGCAAATCTACTGAAACCTAAAGCCTGCGGAAACCATGGTGAAATGAAATAAAAACAGGAGTAGGCTATGTTAAGATTATCGCATGAGACCATAATAACAAATTTGAACTTCCTACTATCCTTATTGCATATACTTAGCAAAGGCGCTGGAAATATATTTAGCCTGTACATGCTAAATGACAAACCAGTAACACGCACAATATGTTAACCTAAGAAGCTTGGAAAGACTAGCTGTCAAAAAACACAGTATTAGCTACACATTTATTTCTTGGTCACCCTGGCGGTGGTGCAGGACATGTATGAGAACAGCGAGTCAGAGGTGAGGTAAGCAGTAGGAGTGACAGATGGGTTCAGGGTGGGGATGGAATTATATCAGACATCGGCTCTGAGTCTCTTTTTGTTTGCAGCGGTGAAGGAAGTCTTTGTGGAAGAAAGGCCTGGAGACGTGGAGGTATGGTCTGGAGAAAGGATGAATAAAAGTTAGTAGAAGCAAGACACATGTGTGTGAATGAGAGGGAGACAGGTGGAAATCAGAGGGTTGGTGTGACAGAAGACGACCCGAGGGATTTATATCATATTTTTTGACACCATTATTAGGTTATCTGCCATGAGCTGATCCAGTCAAATCTGTTTGCTCATTATACAGATTTATGTTTTTGCACAAGGTATGGAACTTTAAAACAGCATTAAGATATGATGTAAGGAAATCTCAGAAAGGTGTGAAAAAGTAAAGAAGTCATCAAACACTGACATATTTCTTTTTCATATTTCAACAACATTACAACAGTGGATTATTAATGGAGATGCATCCATGTGCAAATACATGTTATTTTTATAGGTGATTAAAGTGGAATCAACTTTTGGGTGATTCATCTAAGATAATGAAATTTTGATGACAATTTGTATCGTATGAAGAGAAATGACTACATACTATAGTTAACTACACCTTCAAGGAACATTACTCTATTTTTACACTGTTTTCAGAGGGCTCTTTAGAATTTCTTTACAAGGTCTATTCTATAAAACATGCAGTATGTCATGATTATTACATGATAATGTAATGATACTGTTTGTACTGTGAAATGAATACAATCTGAATTCAAAAATAGTGTAATCATACATGCACATTCATAATATAATCTGTGTTAGACCCCTTAAATTAAGGTTAAAGTCAACACTTTGTGTTATGTTTGAACCCTACACCAATTTTCATTTATTGCACTGGCATACTTTTTATGACAAGTAACATTTTCAGTTTCAGTAATGAGTACATATACTCAAGTACCCTGATAAAAACACCTGTACATCATCTCCTGTCCAACCAGCCAATCATGTGGCACAGAATCCTGCAGCTATAGGTCAGAAGCTTAGCATGGGGACAGGATTATTAGCACCAATCTGATTTAAGTATTTCTCATTTTCATGCCCATCAAGTCTGGATCAGGGGAATATCCAGACTTGATGGAGCTGACTGAAAAGCCGCAATAACTCAGACATCTAATATTTACTACTGTGGTGAGCTGCCCAGAAACCATCTCTGGCTCACAGCATATATGTGTCTAGCAGCAAATGGGCTAACAGCAGGAAAGGTTCACATCAGGTTCCATTTCTGTGAACCAACAACCGAAATCTGAGGGTGCAGTGGGTCGACCGCACAGGTGAAGGCTGGCAAAACATTGCACTTCAGGATAAGCTCAGATTGCCAACAACATGAATCCATGAAGTCATCGTGCCTCATGTCAACAGTCCAGGCTTCTTTCCTGGCACACTCTGTGCCTCCGTAATAATTATGGCTTGAAATAAAAAGCCTATGAGTATTGCTGCAGACCATTTACATCCCTTAATGGAAGCTAAAGGGATACTTTCGGCATGATGCTGCACTGTTGAGTGAAACAAAAGTCATCTGCAGTGGTTTCGTCAACACGACAATGAGTTCAGTGTATTCTCCAATTACCAGCTGTGAGTCCAGTAGAAAACCTTTGGGACGTGATGCAGTGCAACAATAGACTCGAAGGAGCAATGTTCAGATGAAGAATCTACATATTGTTATCATTTCTGATGAAGCACAATCACTGGCGTGCACAGATAGAGACGAGGTGGTGCTGAAGCACTTGCCCTTTTGCCCTCAGTCCAAAAAAGTGCCCTTTTGAAAGACGTGATTTTTTTTTTTTAAAGCTGCGCGATTTAAAAAGGTGTGAAAATAATGGCTTGATTTGTGCCCCTTCTTCAAAGACACCCGAACCCTGTCGCTTTTTCACTGTCACCGTGTCACGTGAACACGCTTGCAGTTCATTTGTTGTGAGGCGTGTAGCAGCGGCATGACATAGGACTACTTGGAGTAGGCATAGTAGGCTAACTATAGCGACTGGGAGCCACGGCGGACAACACGGCAGCTCTTTCCCTTCCCAACCAGTCAGGTAACCCATGAATCGAGTGAAATTATTCTGTTTGCCCTCTAAGACCAACCTGCAATTGTTTTGTTGTGAAGTAGCCTGTCAGAAACTGCACATGACAAACTTTGCCAGCTTGCCCCCTCCATCCATCCATATGGATAAACAAAAAAACGACACATTTAAAATGTAACCTAAACCATTTAGGCAACCCCACTCTCCATCAATTCCGACCTTTTTGCATACACTATTGAAAATATCACGTTATGCTATAGGCTACATGCCGTTAGGCAGAGGGCTCTTTTGAGCCCATTTTTCGTTACAAATTTTAGGATGATCTCACGGAAATCTGTGAATAAATACAAAGTTTTCAAACTGAAGTCAGTGACGGGAAGACATCACACTTTTTAGAGATGGAACTGCAGAAAAACCTAAAACCTTGACATGATTATGAATAATAGAATTATGGACGTTTCTCCGTTTTTGTGGATTAGCCTTTCCATAACTAACGTCAACTACTGTCCTACTTTGGTAAGATTGAAATTAATGTCTTTGACTGTCTTTAGTAGGTGTCTCCTGTGAGAAAGTTAGAACACCGTCCAACTGTCTAAAGATGCAGTCTTTAGCCTAACTGGTTGTTACTGACTCAGCGATGCTCGCAGACATTTACGCACTGTGTTGTGACCTGATTGTGACAGAACAGTGACGTTGTTATTGGTAGTTTGAAGGGTACGGTGTTGGGGGTGGTGCATGTTAAAAGTTTTGAGAAGCACTGGTTAGACATGTTAATTTTTTTGGTGTAACATATTGGCAACATTAACACATTAATTTGCTAAAGGAAAAATAGGCAGTTCCCAATTGCCTGTGAAAACGACCATTCTGCCCTGTTCTTGTAATGACCACAGTCAGTCTTAGTCGTTCTCATACATTTTGGTCTATTTATTTACTAATTTCAGCAAGCATAATGCCTAGGAAAGAGGCTGAGAAAGGAGAAAATAAAAGTCAAATTGCATTTACCTGTGCGATTTTTTTATTATAAAAAGAAAAGGTTTTCCACATATGCAAAAAGTGCCCTTTTTTCCCCCTGGAGCACTTGCCCCCCAAAATGTCTGTGCACACCCCTGAGCACAATCACAAAAGCACATCTCCAACATCCTGTGGAATCCATGCCACCCAGATCCGAGGCTGTCTGGAGAGCAAATGGACGTCCTACCCATTAATAGCTTAGCATCCATAATAAGTGAACTGCTTGTGCTTCTTCTATAAGCACTCCACACACGCCTCACACACACACACACACACACACACACACACACACACACACACACACACACACACACACACACACACACACTTTGCACATAGAACATTTCATTATATGTAAACTCAATGTGCTTAACACAGAACATAAAAAATAAAAGTATAAGATAAGACGTGAAAGCACTAGCACTTCGAGTATTGCTAATTTTATTTAAAAACACTTCAACTGATTCTTGACTGATCAGATGTTAAATTTGGGGAGCTCTTTGCAGGGATGCCGTTACAGGTTCTAATATGGCAGAATACAACCAGAGTCTGAGTCAGCAGGTGGTGTATGTGTTTAGAGGCTTGTGGTTCAATGTCCGCCCTGCTCCAGCTCCACTCATCTCTCTCCCCCACACACCCTCCATAGTGTTCGATATGCTGATCCAACTGCTGCCCCCATGCGCACATGGAAAGATGGAAAGCTTTTACGCACCGCGCGCGTTCACTTAAAACGGGTTTAGCTGTTGTTTCTGCATTGTCACACGCATCGCCTGGTGCATAAGTAGGCTTCGGCATTAGGGATGTGCTGTAGAAAAGTAGGGGATGCGGTAATACCTCACTACATAATACAGGGGGGTGGGGGTAAGAGACGAGACTTGCGTCCAGATGCTCACCGCCAACTAAACGTGAGAGAAGCTCAGACATCAATAACATCTCGCTCATCAATAAGAAATTTTGATGGAGTTGGACTGCTTAATTAAATAGGTTGCCTTTACGCTAGCTGAATTTGTAATATTTAATCTGATGACCCCCAATGGACAAGATCTGAAGGAAGAACTCTTCAGCGTCTCCATCCACAGGAAAGCGGCTCGGCCAGACAGAGAATCCGACTTGGAGATATTTCTTATCTTTCAGTGATGGCTATTAACACTGATGCTGCCTTTGGGAAAAGCGCCCTTGGCGAGAGGGAAGTTTCTATACCCACCGGCTTCCAGGACACGGAGAAGCTACTGAGCACAGCAACCACCGAGCCCACCGGGCAGAGCAACATCAAACCATCTGACTCTTTCTCCCTGAACATCAGAGGGAGTGTCCGCTCCCTGGATGCGGACCAGAACGGACACAGATCACCTCTTAAATCGGGCTCCGTTGGGCAACTGGCCCCACCCAGATCCTCGTCCCGGCTTTTCCTGGGACAGCTGCCCTCTCAGGTGCCACCGGGCACCGACCCCCCGAGTTACCTCTGGCTCGCCGTGCTGTCCTGTTTCTGTCCCGGCTGGCCGCTCAATATTTGTGCCTTGTGGTATGCAAATGTGGTGAGTGCCGCGCAGTTATTTAGCTTTTACTTTATCCATAGACATTTTTCTCCGTGCTTTAAATCACACTGTAAATCCAGGTGTTTTGCTACTGTTTTGCAACTGTGTTGCTCTTAAATTATTTATATTTTATCTCCTTCCATTTCCCGTTAGTCGAGGACTGTTCTCCAGACAGGGGATGCTGAGGGAGCGAGAAAGTATGGGCGTCTATCTATGTTACTCAGCGCCCTGGCAATGGTGCTGGGTGTGGCTGTGATCATCTTCGTAGCGGTTACAATAGGTATGCGAGGAAGAAATGGAACAAACACACAGAAATCTCAGTGTAACTCTGTGTATATCAACTTTTTCCTCTGTCTGTTTTGCTCTCAGAGATGCAGCAATGAAAAGTGGGATGAAAGGAGTCTTCTTTTACGTCATCTCAAATTTTCACACGAGGAAGGATGTCAATTTGACGATGAAAAAGCACAAACAAGACGAAGAGACTCTCAAGTATGACTTAATGTTTTGTTTTTGTTTGTTTGTTTTTCTGCTACGGACCTAAAAAAAAAAAACAGAAAGAAAAAGAAAGAAGGGCAGGACATTTCTATTTTTCTGGCTACACTCATGCCCAATCACGTCAGAAACTCAGGATCTGAGGAAGAAAGATAAAAACTGCACTATTGTGTCAGGCTGTCAGTAACTATATTCTCATAGTCTAAACTAGTGGTGCACTCCTGCCTTATGCAGACAGCTGGATAAAACTACAATTTGCAAATAAATTAAAAAAGAAAAAAACACATATGGGTTCACTAAACACAACAACAAATACACAAGATCAGAAAAAAAGGCATCAGTGCACTTCTAGTCCATGATGTCGTCACTGCCCTGTTTCTCAAAACTAAATATTAACAAAACATTAACTTTTTCTCCCGTTTGAGAGTTTTGTGGCTGTAGGAAGACGTATAAGCTGTTTTCGTACATTGTTTACATGAATTTTAGGCACATGTCTATGTATCACAACAATGCCTTTCTGCAGTCATAGTGTGATATCTTGCTTTGCGTGCTGTCATAACTGAAATGACTCCTGTTTGGACTCTACTGAACCTCATTATGTTTACAATATACTGCAAGATATGAACGGGGCGGTTGCCCCCCTTGTATGCACCGATCTTGGCACTCTGATGTTCATGTTTATACATTTATACTGTATGACTGGTTTACTGTGCCATAGTTCTGCATGTCTGAAATAAAGCTGAATGAGCATGACCAAGCTGGAAGTGAGTTTGTCACTTTTATTTAACAAAATAAGTCAATACAATACACAATCCAAATGAAAGGTTATTATGTGAATTTATAAGGAGTTAAAATAACAACAGGATACAAGCAGCAATATACAAATCCCCAGAAAATAAATAAACTCTCCAATCTGAGAAATTACATCTTATTTTCAATATTTTGTGTCAGTTATATTTTTGTGCCATAGAGAGAATAAAAACCACATGGTATACACTTGGTTAGAGTTACAGTGCGTATATTTTGTCAGTTGATGGCGATTCATTGGAAAGTGTAGAGCAACAAGAGTATGGTGCAGACACCAATAACCACACCCAGAATTATAGAGTCCCGCCTCTTGCGCAAATTGATTTTCTGGATGAGACTGTTGATGGTGGGGAAGCGATCTGAGAGGCGGGGTAGCAGGGTGAAGGAAAATAATTAAGACCCAAGCTGGGTTTCCCTTCCTTGCAGTAAGTAAATAAGAGACAGAGAGTAGCAGGAAAAAACATCAGCAAGGCTCCGAAACAAAAATCCAATCCAGCGGTGTGGTTCAGTGAATCCAAACCAGCTTATATTAACCCACAGGCCTGTCAGATGGACTCGAGACTTTAAAATTATGGTCATTTAAGACTTAATAGCAAAAAATTTATATTTTCTAAATATTTTTTCATTCAGTTCAATGGTCAGTGTTCATCTCAGGTCTGTTCATTTTTTTATTTATTAGTGCAATCTAGCTATGCATTTATTATTTTAACTATCTAAGTGCGTATGGCTCAGTCACACAAAGTAAAAATAAGACAGAAACATCCTCATGACTAGGAAAGGAAAGAAAAAAGTGGTTCCCTGGTAGCTATGGTGACCAAGTGTTCACCCAGATGTGGGGGGTGTTCCTTTGTCAACCTCTGGGCAACCTTTTTTGATTGGAAGACAGTTGCATGGGTCGTCTTTCTTCATTCACACCCAGACAGGCTAGCAAACATTTAGTCGTGGCCAAAAGTTTTGAGAATGACACAAATATTGGTTTTCAGAAAGTTTGCTGCTTCAGCTTTTATGAAGGCAGTTTGCATATACTCCAGAATTTTATGAAGAGTGATCAGATAAACTGCAAAGTCCTTCTTCTTGTTAACATAGGTGAGAATGTTGACGAGCACAAGGCTGGAGATCATTATGTTATGATGATTGAGTTAGAATAGCAGACTGGAATTGTTAAAATGATGGCGATGCTTGAAATCGTTGTTCTTCCTGTTAACCATGGTAACCTGCAAGAAAACATGTGCAGCCAGCATTGTGTGCGATCGTGGCTCAAAGAGTTGGCAGTTCGTCTTGTAACCGGAAGGTTGCTGGTTCGAGCCCCGGCTCGGACAGTCTCGGTCGTTGTGTGCTTGGGCAAGACACTTCACCTACCGCCTACTGGTGTTGGCCAGAGAGGCCAATGGGAGCCTCGCTTCTGTCAGTCTGCCCCAGGGCAGCTGTGGCTACAACTGTAGCTGCCTCCACCAGTGTGTGAGAGTGAATGAATAGTGGAATTGTACAGCACTTTGCGGTTCTCGAAAAGCGCTATATAAATGCAATACATTCCTTATTATAATTATTATTGTGTTGCATAAAATGGGCTTCACAGGCAAAGATATTGTTGCTGCTAAGATTGCACTTGATGATCCGATAAACTGTTTATCGGATCATCAAGACAGTGCAATTCATTATTATAATAATTATAATAAGGAATGGATTGCATTTACATTTATGTCTTGATGATCCGATAAACAGTCAACTGTTTATCGGATCATCAAGAATTTCAAGGAAAGCGGTTCAAAGGTCCTCTAACGATGATTCAGAAACAACTGACAAAAAGATCTAAAAACACTGAAGCAGCAAACTTTATGAAAACCAATATTTGTGTCATTCTCAAAACCTTTTTCCATGACTGTACAGTGCTGTGAAAAAGTATTTGCCACCTCCTTGATCTCATAAATAACCTTTCCTTTAAATGACAATGTCATTTCACACTGGCCCTGTATGAAAAACAAAATGAAGGTTTTGAATTGGTCTAATCAAAGTCTGGGCTTATATGTGATGGCAATGCTTTGGCATGACCTTAAACAGGCTGTTCATGCAATGTAATTCCTCCAGACAATTCCACACTTGTGGTTTTGACCTATTTATCACATTTACACATTTCGCCATATTATCACAGATTGCACGTAACTTCCAAGTTGACTCCATTCAATCACAAACTCATAGCAGACTGACTCTGTCTTATCACCCCTAACTTGCTCTGAAGACCGCAGCTGACTGAGAGTAGTTGCACAGGCGTTGCCTGTCTTCACAAGCAGTTTTCTATTTTCCTGTGCAACGAGGAGAACTGGCATTTTTATTTTAACACAGAAAAAAGAAAAGAAAGTCGAGTCTGGAGAAAAAGAAGAGAAGTGATATCAATGATAAAAGGATACTGGCCAAAGTTGTGACCCTGGTTTGAATGGACTTCAACATCCCACGCTGAAATGTGATGTTCTCTTTGGTAGCCATGGCGATACTGCAGGGAGACAAACCATTAGGGACTGGCGGCGGCACAAAAAGAAGCACACACAGTAGCTGTCTTCGCAGAATCACATTAAGCTTGTTTCAGCTAATGAGCTAAAAGTAGGGAGCTACAGTAGTTTTAATAGACTGAAATGTGCTGCATTTGCTTATGATGGGCACGTGCTGAGTGAGAACAAAGCAAGGGAGGAGGAAAGCAAATGAAGCATTAATAGAACTCACCTTATTGCGTTGTCAATATGACTGTCTGAGCTGTGAACATAGGACAAAAAACAAGAAAAAGGATAAAAGTAAGTCAACCATCTTCAGTAAAGTTAAAGATTAAAACTTCCTAAAATAACCTTATGAGATCATTTCAAATGTTCTCTATATGAAGTTATGGAATTATACAACAAGACTCAGAGGAAGCCTGTGCCATGAACCCACACAGCCCGATCGGTCTGTTATCATAAGAGAAGCACTTCATCTGATTCCTGCGAGGGAGGAGAAAGTGCTGTTAATGGGCGATTTTGGGGAAAGTCCATTAATGTGTATAAAATTTCAGCTCTGAACATATGGATATATAATGTTTGGTTCTGATCTCTGATTTTCTTGAGGCGTAAGGAAAACATACAGAGGGTCAACAGTGCACATACACACAGAGAAGGGCTTGCATTATCTGCTAAGATAAGTGATGGGCAGAAAAAGTCTGGGGCTGAGCGGAGCATATAAAGGCAGCTGCATGCATCCTGTCGGACTTCACTAGAGACCAAAAATCAATACTGTGCTTTATACTTCCTCCATCTATTCGTCCACCGCTCCCACCATCTATCTGCTGCCATCCTCTCCTTTTTCAGACGATCCTTTATTAGCCGACAGAGTCAGAGGCGAGGCAGCTTCATGTTTAGCAGACCCTACTTTTCTTTCTTTGCTTATTTTCCTATTCTTTACTTGTGATATAGCATAACATTATAACTTAAATTTAAATCTGCCTGTGTTCAATGTACATAAATATGAATACAGCTGCAATATGCACACAGACATGGTTTCCAATGGTTTTCCATTTCTGCATATCTGACCACTAGTCACACTTATAAAGTTAGAACCACTGAGTCTTTTTTAAAAATTTGGTTTAGTTGGCATCTTTGTTGAAAACAGAGCAGAGGCAATAACGCGGATCGACTCCCCACCATTGGACATTTGCGTATTTAACAAACACACCCAATAGATTCTTGTGAAAATGAAATGAGAGGAACCATTCAAACCTAAATGTGTCAACAAGCCAACCAGCAAATGAACCAGTTAACCAACCACATCCCTCATTCAGGTCCAGATCTGGGTCCAGCTGAGAAATGCAATTTGTCTAGCATGCCCGAATCTGCTCTAGGACTTCCTCCCGGTGGGACATGACCAAATCACCTCGTCGGCCCACTTGATGCAAGGAAGTAACGGCTCTACTTTGAGGCAACTTTGTCAATAATCACATCGATAGCACTCTGGGCCCCCTTTCTTCCAATTGTAAAACACATGTAAAAAACCTCGGTGTCTACCTTGATGGTTCTTTTAAATTGAATAAGCAGGTGAGGGCAGTAGTCCAGTCCTGCTTCTTTCAGTTAAGACAGCTAGCCAAGGTAAAGCCATACCTTCCGGCTAACGTCTTTGAACATGTTATTGACCCTTTCCTTACTTGCAGATTGGACTACTGCAATTCATTGTATTTTAGTCTCGACCAGGCCTCCATTCATCATCTTCAGATGGTCCAAAATGCAGCTGCTCGCCTGCTAACTGGTACCAAACGGAGAGAGCATATAACCCCAGTTTTAGCTTCTCTACACTGGCTTCCTGTCTCCTGCAGGATCCAGTTTAAACTTTGACTTTTTGTTTTTAAGTTGCTTAACGCCCGAGCCCCTTCTTACCTGTCTGAGCTCCTTTCTGTTTATGCCCATAATTAATGCTCTCCATCCCACAGACTTATCTCAAATCTTGTGGTAGAGCCTTCTCTGTGGCTGGTCCCAGACTTTGGAATAGTCTTCCCCTAAATATTAGATCTGCACAAACACTTGATCAATTTAAATCACTACTAAAGACACATTTTTAAGCCCTTGCTTTTAACACACTATGACCCAAGCATTTTGGTCTTATTTTAATAGTCTTAGTTCTTAGTTGTTTTAATTCTTTTATTATTGTATTACATTGTTTCTTTTTAATGGCATTTTTATATTGTTAAGCACTTTGTGCAGCATCGTCTATCTAGAAATGTGCTATCTAAATAAATTTGACCTTGACCTTGAGTCCTTCGTGAATGACTGAGCTCCACACCCAAGAGAGTGCCCACACACCCTCTGGAGACATCTCATTTCCACTGCTTTTTTCCGCGATCGCTGCGATCCCATGCATAAAAAAGTGAAATACTTTTATCACTCACTGATAACATTACTTCAACATGTGTATTTACTATTGCAATATTACATATTAAGGTTTACCATAAAACACTGCAATGTGAATGGGACTCAGTGGCATAAGAGCAACTCTGGATCCACTGCTTCAGGTAACACATTTGTCTATGCACTGATTCAGCGAACTAATATATGTCCTAATATGAGATGTGCATTAATATTGTATAATTTCTAAAACTGCAATCAACACCTCTTTAAATTTAAGTGAAGCTGCAAATTATTGAGTAAGTTATGAGTGCTTGAATAAAATCTAATAAAATAAGAAGAAGAAAAACACCAGCAGTCCAAAACTTTTATAAATTGAGCAGCAGCAAAGTGTTGTCTGTCGATCAGCTAATAGCTCAATCGAATCCTTTTAGCAGCCCTCAATACTGAGACGATGCCGCACATTTTAACCTCATTTCTTACATTCAGTATTGAACATTTGTTCATATAGTGCATTTACCCCACCGAATCCCAAACAAGAATCTCCTCATCAATCACTGACATGTTCACACCTTCGACAAGTCAAAGTGCAACAGTGGTTTCTCAGATCAGCCTCACAGAGCCTCAGATTTTATGTGCATTCTTCTTTCAAGCTCCATCTATCTAAATAACAGCACGCCCAATATCTCATAACATTGACAATAAAAACAGTTCCTCAACTTGCAGAGACCGCTGCTGAGACTGTGTTTCACTGTTAAAGGTAAATTTAACTCCTCAATTTTCAATCTGAGAGTCTAAACTGTCTGAAGAGTATTAATAGTTTGTCTTTGCTGATGTCTGCTCCTCCTCCACAGGTGATACAGGAGGAAAATGTTTCTCTGGGTAAAATCAGCAACGCTTGTTTATCCGAAACAAACCAAGGATGCACTGGAGGAAGAAATAACCACACTGCGACAGCAGGTGGGCTATTTTTTCCTCATACGGTTGGGAAGGTGCTTAAAGTGGGTGGTTTATTTCTGAATCATGTTCAGTGATCACGGCAGCGCGCATCTCAGCACATTTCTGGCATTTCAACAAGTCCAGTACTGGCACTGTCAATAATGTTACTGTTGGCTCAGGGAACTGTATTAGCATTAGCTGAAGTACTCATCAAATGCAACGCAGTATTTAAAATGTTCATATAACACTTTATATAAAGGTATAGACTCTTTTCTTTTTAACTTGCTCTGACCTTTCTTAAAAAAACACTGCTTCTGTTAGGAACAAATAAAAAACAAAAAGATAATACAAATAAATACAAATCAGAATAAAGTCAAAACTGCTTTTTGCTTCATTAAAAAAAAAAAAAAGGCATAACATGTTCTCATCGTTAAGGCCAAAAAGTGTGATACCCAGTGTCACACGAGCCTAATGACTGGCCTCCTTGTGACGGCTTTCTGAATACTTTGGTTGCTAGCGGACCGCTGTAGTCACCTGCAGTTTGCACAGAAGACGTCGACTTATCTGAACTCGCCGAGTAAACATGTTCACTGAATAGTGATTCGCATGGTGGCTGCAGAATGGCCTCTAGACCTGTGTGACCTTGTTGTGGTTGTATGAATTTTTTAAATGGATATTAAACAAAACTGATATACGTCCACATTAAAGAAAAAGTAAATAAATGGGAAGTTAATAAGAAGTATTCAGAAGCAACCATGTAAAATACCTGAAAATGAAATCTCAAAGAAACTCATAAATTTTTAACTAAGGAAAATGTAAAATGAAAGGCACCTAAATGATGACTAATCATGTTGGATTCCCGGCTCGACAAACTGCCGCATCAGTTGGTAAGTTCAAAGCTGTGGTGCATATCTCAACACTGACACGGTGGATTTTTCACTGAAGTAGCTAAACACTTTAATGGCTCTCCAGACTTTTCAAACAAAATCATTATCACCATTAAAAAAGTCTTAATCCCTGACGAGGCGTCGGGGGTCCCCAGGAGCATCTTCCTTGGAGGGCTCAACCCGGGGTTGCGGTCATGGCCTATTAAGGGCTCTGTTGGCTCTTAGGTGACGGTTTCCTCGTGGCTGCGTGCAGCGGGGCTAGGGGAGGGTCTGTGGCTCCCCACACCCTCTAGCAGATCATTACATGAAGGAACCTTTTAAATACAAGCGCGCTCATGCTCACAGGTGTACACACGGTGCTCACACACACAAACACACCCTTTTTGGCTCCTACCTCAAAGCACACTGTGGTCTGTGATCTTATGTGCTGCACAATAATGTTTACATATTTAGTTACTGTTATATTCCCATATATCATCGTGATGTCTGTTTATTTATGTACTCTTGTTTTTTCCTGCTTGTTTTCTTTTTTTCTTTCTCAACAGGTGACCAGGTGATTGATATATGATTTATTTCTTTGTTTTCTGCTTCATTTGTTGGTTTTTGTTTTTTGCCCTTTATCCCCGTCCCTCTTCCCGCTGTTTTTCTTTCCCTCTTTCTTTTCCCCAGTCAAATCTGTCCCGTATTTAGCAAGTGAAAATAAAATAAAATAAACAATAAAAGGTGAATCAAATAGACCATTACGGCAAGGCTGGGATGGTCCATTTGGTAAAGTAAATCCGTTGGGCATCTTTCCAATAATTCTGATGGCAAAAGAGCCAAACGGGACAGGCAAAAAAAAAAAGACTGTTATTTACAACAAAATACCTACGAAATCTTACGATAATTTAATCAGACTCAGATATTACATTAATCCAAACTGCCTGGAGAAACAAGTCTGACCACTTTCAGCCCTTTGAAATATCTGTGCAGTTATTTTACCTTTAATTGTTGCTGGAACAACCAGAAAACGGCATGTGTTCATCATCAAATATCAATATATTGATCTAAACTCACAGCTATGATCATTATAGCCTTCTAGTTTATTTTTCTAATATATCTAAATGCAAACAATAATTGTTTAAGCTGTTGCACAAAACATAAAATATACAGGATCTATGAAAGTAAGGATTTGTAAATAGATCTCTGATAGGTGGGGCATTCCCTTGCACAAGAAACTGAATAATAAATGTGTGAGCTGTGCAGGCTCTCTGATTTAGTCACATTTACTTTAAAGATTAAATGACAAAACAAACAAACAAATGAAAGCCCTTTTTGGTGTTTCCAATTCATTCTGAACAACTAACTCTGCTGTTTTCTGCCACCACAATGCTGACTCACAAGTTTCAGTTCATTGTTGCAACAAAAAAGTTTCAGAGTGACGTGAGAATTCAGATTTGGGACGTATAGAGGGTTCGTGGTGTGACTTGGAGGTGTCTGACCCCCTAAAAAAGATTTTTAATAACAATTATATAGAGAGGCCAAAATGAGTGGATAAAAGAAGTTACTGTTGACCACCTGACTCATCTGAGCACAGATGAATAATCATCAGACTGGACCTTCATTATAATCTCAACAACTCGCATGTTTCTACAGAAATTTTAATCATGAAGTTCAGCCATTTCGTATCCATCATTTACACCAGGTGATATGCAACCGCAGCACAGCTCTGTCCTAGAGTCAGACAATAATTACCTTTTTTATTTATTATTTTTTGTATTTCAAAAGGAGGAATTGGATCTCAGTCCAATGGCAACTCAGGGGAAGGAACAAACTGCGGATCCACTGCTTCAGGGAACAGCGGTGATGGGAGCGTGGGAGTTGTGTCTCTCGCTGCTAAAATAACCTAAACCATGTTTTCATTATCTGCAGTAATGCAGTCATTCCCATAAAGCCAATATACGATACAGAGTCTGGTCTATTCCCCCCCAGTTCCAAAGTGGTCAAACCAAAACTGGAAGCCACTTTGTATTCACTGCCTCAGGAAGCACCGGCAGTGTCAGTCCCCAGCTCAATGTGTTATTTTGTTCAGGAGACACTAAAGGTGGGCTGTTTCGTGATTTCTGAATTCTTAGTCATTCTCTGTATTTTAAAAGGAGGAATGGGAGCCCAGTCAAATACTGGCAACTAATGTAAAACAGGGGGGTGGAAGCAACGCTGGATGCCCTGCCTGGGGGAATGCTAGCAGTGCGAGCAGTCTGTTTTCTCTGTCATTTTGCTGCAAAGTTATCAGGAGTGGGCAGACTTCAGAGTTTAGAATCTGTGCAGTAAAATTAGTAGGTTGTGTGATTGTATCTATTTATTATCTTTTTACTTCTGAAGGGGAAAACACAGCCAGCACTGGCAACACGAGTAACGCGACAGCTGGTGAAGAAGATACTGGAAGGAGAAAAAAACACCTGCAATCTAACGTACGTGAGTACTGTTAAGGCCTTTACACGCAGGATGGGTTTAAAATATTTTTCACACTCACCTGTTCTTAATGCAGCCGCTCACACTCAACACATATTTTCGCTGGAAAAATTGCGGCATTAATTTTTTCAAACCAAGCACAATTTTTCTGATTTTGTGGATCTGAATAAACAGATCAAACCAATCAGGTCACTGCATTTGGCAACAAGTGCGCTCATGGCTCAAATCGTGCACCTGTACTGAATATACAATATGGAAATCATTTTTTAAAAGACACAAATGGACAGTGCTCTGTGTCGATGGGCTCTTTCAAATGACTTGTCTACCTTCTCAGATGTGGTCCCAAGTCCAGAAACAAGCATTCAAGCGGGCCCACTGACATTCAAATTTATGAAAGACACGATACAGCTTCAACTCCTAGATCAAACCATAATCTACCTGTTCTCTTTTTCCCCTTTGGATAGCATTTCCACAACATGAAACCTGTTTGTCACCACAGCTCCGAACACGCCAGCACACACTGACACAAGCAAGACGAGCTTCTGAATAATAGCTGCATCGCTTCTTTTTTATAAATAGAACCCAACCGAGCTGAACAGAAAGCTATAACTCCAATCAGGAAGTGTCTGAGTTGATGCAGTCATTTTTTATTACATCAGTGGAAATACCGCAGACACATCACAGAGAATTCAACTCTCACATAAAGGGGTTGTAAACAATGAGGATTTTGGAAAATAGCTCTCAATCTTCTTGTGATAAGTGTGAAACTGGTTTTCTTAAAGATGTGTCTTACTTTCTTAGATGCTCGTGCTCCTTCAGGAAGAGCTCTGTCCTCCTGTTATTCACCCCTGAGCTGCTTTTGTAGGACCTGAGTAAGAAAATTAAAGAAGGGTAAACTCCAGCATCAGATTAGCACCAAAAACGTTATTACAGCTGGAACATGAGTGTGTGCAGATGCTTAGACAATATACTTAACATCAAAATATGTCAACCTCCCTGTGACAAGAGAAGGATATGATTCGTCATCAGTGCTGCAGGTATTTCCCTCCATCCTAAAAACACATGCCGGGATACTGATGTACTTCCTGCATTAAAGCTTCTACGTGCTTAACCCAAAGCTCTGTCCTCCATCTCTTATTTACACCACCACCATCCCATTTCTATTTGGACTAATAATCTTTTTAATCCATCATCTATTTTCTGTTCTGTTGGCCCACTCCTTTCACTGTTCCTCCACACCTCTAATCTCAGTGGGAATAATTAAAATTCACTCTCATCATTTTTGTAATCAATCAAAGTCAAATCAGGAGAAAGTCTCATTCCCTCTGTCTGACAGTCTTGCTCTTCCTCGCCTCTAGTGAAAAAGCATTTCTCTGCATCAGGCAGGCCAGATGTAACCACTCTCCCTCAGCTCTGGCTCAATGAAAGCCTTGTGGTTTGATTTACTGTAGAAGGCACTTAGGAAAGAGATCCCCGGCGAAAGAGAGAGACATAGACAGATACAGAGAAGAGGAGGGAAGATGGCTAATAAGAGGTGTCTCTTATTAGAGGATGAAATATGATAGCGGGAATGCAGAGTATTAAAGGGTAGGGGAAACCAGACACTGAATAGACATCTCTGCCTCCTGCTGGTCAGAGATAACATCGGACGAGAGGAGGAGGGATGAGAAGAGAGCAGAAAAGTGGGACAAAAATAAGGAAAGCTGAAAATGTTAGATTTGGTGACAACAAAAAGTAGGCATGGAAGGAATTCAGGAGGAAAAGGAAAACTCTGCATACGTAAAGCAGGAGAGTAAGCAAGTGATTTAATAACACATTTTTGTAACATCTTGGGACATATGGGAGATAAAAGAAATGACACCTAAAAAGATAAGAGAACTTCTAATATTAAATATTAGAGTTATCATCAATATCAATGAGAAGCCTAAACTACATTTGCCACCAAATTTATTCACAAAGTAGCACAATAAATAATTTTACACAACACTTGCGCTGCACTTGGAGCTAAAAAGAAGAACCTACAATAATTCATTTCCATTAGCTTAAAAAATTTGACAGTATTCTTTGGCTCCACCTCCTCAAAGTTAAATATTAGCTGTTTTTTTTTCTTTTAATTTTATTGTGAAGCACTTAAAATAAAAGTTGTGCCTTACTGCTGCAACCACTTCAAAAGGCACAACTTTGACTTTGAAGACAGGGTTGGCGAGCAAGTCGAATTTTTCTTACAAACTACAGCCAACCACAGCAGCACCATATATTTCTTTGTTGCCAGTTTCACCAAGTGAGTGCTGACAAACACTTGCCAACCTTTTGGGCAATACACAGTTTTATCTAGCAAGGTTACCAGGGCCTCGCTGACCAGCCTCGAGGCCTGCGTGACTGACACTTCACTCACGGTTGTATTTTCTAACAACATGAAGTCTTTTATTGATCAGAGAGGGAAGGGAACTCACTCGATGTCTCTGTGAACTGAGCCCAGAAGGTCCTCTCGCTCTCGCAGGCTATAGAAGTTGCTTTTGATTTTGTGAAACTCATGAGTGTAGTCCTGCAAAATAAAACACGATAAACTACAGCCAGTGTGACATGATATCACTAGCAAACAACATGATTGGAAAACATTGGGGCAAAATACAGTACATATTTCATAAATGCATCTTCAAAGTACGCAGAATGTTCCAATAAATAGCTGAAAGATTTTGTCCTTGACCGAGGGGAAAATACTAATCATATGATCACTCAAAGACATGAAAAAATTGTTTTTAGAATGTGGATTTGCCCAAAGTTCAACCGTAATTAATTATAACATTTAAAGTGTGGAGGGCTAAAAGTGATTATTGTGAAACAGTAATTATAATAATAACGTCCCTGAACTTTGAACTCAGGACCTTCTTGCTGTGAGGCGCCAGCACTAACCACCACACCACTGTGCCGTCCGGCAAAACTGCAAATGAAATTAAAGTTTTATTAATTGCACAGCCTACAACAAAGTGAAGGAAGTCTATGTACCTGTAAAATGTCTCTGTGCCTCTGTAAAGTGTGCATCAATCCTGCGTTGTGTGACGAAACTCCAGGGGTGCTAGTGCATTCTGCCATTTTGTCATTGACTGCTGTAAGCTGCAAAAAAAGGATTAAATTCTTATCATGTAGCCACAGAAGCACAGATGACCTTTTAAGAGATAATGTGATTTCAAAACAGCCCAGGATTATAATTTGAAATGTTCGACTACTCGAAAAAAAATTATTTAACAAGTAGGCTACAGGCCTAACAGTCTGTTTGACTCTAAAAACATAGAATAACACAATTGTCTGCAACTGAAGGCATCCTATACGTGACCATACCGTGTGCCACATTTAACTCACATTGGCTAAGAGCTGGTCCAGCTCAGTCGTCATGGCCACAAGCGAGTTGTCATGAGATGAGCCCAGAGAGTCAGACCTGATTTCAGACGGAAATAGAAAGGATGCTCAGCAAAAATGTAAAAAAGAAAATTTAATTTAAATTCAATAAGTCAACAATTACACGTTCTAAAGCTTCTAAAAGCACAAAGATTTTTTAATATCCAACAAGATTTCTTTTGAGAGAGGGTACATGTTTAAAGTGAAGAGGGGAAAGCGCTGCCAACCTGCTGTCTCTCATCCGCTGGTCTGGGCTGCTGCTGGTATAGCTGGTGCAAAGCTTACTGAAGGAGACTAGCTTGAGGTCAAGCTCATTCTCCAGCTGCCTGGCTTGTTTACGCAAATCTGACGGGGGGAGAAAAAATATAAAACAAATAAATTAGACAACCCTCAATATCATGCCAGATCTACAGGAGTCCAGTAAGGATAGAAAGACCCAGGCAGATCATTTTATGTAAACCCAGAGTGTCGGGGAAGGAGAAGCCCATCTCGGTCATGATCCATCATGATTCACAGGTTATTGTGAAGTGTGAAGCACAGAAAGACGGTTGAGTGAACAACTGGATATTGTTCACAACACCAAGAGTGAGAATTTGGTGAAACTGGAAGTAGTGTGGAACAACATTATGCCGTGAAAATGTACAAGAGTCTGTAAAAGGACAAACGTTACCTTGGCCTTGAGCACAATTTTGTGGAAGACCCATTAGATGATCACTGCGTTCAAGTTTGGTTAAATTCTGGACAAATTCTTTCAATCTGCCGAAGGATTTAAAGGGTCACCGACTACACGTGGTTAGTGAAAGCATTAAGCATAAAGCCTCGGAAACTCTGGTGTTTTAAGATACCAGAAGCATGTTAAATTAAACTATTTATTTCACATTAGTGTTGAAGGGTTAGTGTTTTATTTTCTAAGGTACATATTAGATTTAATAGAACTAAATCTCTGTAAAGTGTATTTTAAATAGCACAATTTAATTATCATTTACCAATAACACATTACAGCACATCCTTTACACTGAATTATTATGGGTTGCTGCTGACAGTGTGCTGGCCTTTATCCAATGAAAAGAAACTTTGATTCTCTTTTACTGTTTGAGATGGTATCAGAGATCCAAAGTTTGATCTTGGATTTAAAAGTTTGAGAACCACTGGTTTACAACAAACATCCACAAAAAGCTGATAAACCACAGACTACACAGTACAGGTAGAAACTATTTTTATGATTATAAAAATAGCTGTTTTTCATAATATTATGATCATCAAAACAGAAAATTGGGCTCACTTTTGATTTCAGCCAAATGTAAGGAGATAATAACTGGCAACCATAACATTACGAAAGCCTTCATCTGATTAACGAGGTAACTGATTTGGTGGTCAGCAATGAATGACCATATATGTGTAAACAACTATTAACTTCCTGTTTGTTTACACTTAACGATGCAAGACTTGTTTGGTTGAAATCTTCCTGTTACGTGCCTATAAACAGTAAACGGAGGATGAAACAGAAAGGTTTACAAACTCTGGTAGCACGTAAGCTGGCTTAAAGGAGGAAGCTGAAGTCTGACTACTGACTTTTGAACTACGAAGGCTAACACGCTAACAGATTAGCCTCGAAACCGGCTAAAAACACCTTCTAACCGCGGATAAAATAAAGTTTCTGAACTGCTGAGTTTGTATGACCTGGATAACAAAAGCCTTACATGGTGGCAGCTGTTTGTTTGTGTGTTTGTTTGGGGTTTTTTATTACACAAAGCACCATTATTTACCTTCCCAGTAGTTATTGCTGCCTGCCATGTTTGTTGTTGACATGTCATCATCAGCCGTCAAGAAGATACAGTTGTCGCACTTGTCTTTCTATCCCACAGCGGCCTCTAGTGGTTTCAAGATGTATGTCGCTTTCAGAGATTACTAATTTTGATATAGAGTAGGCATCAGTAACGGTAAAGCTAATTTTAAAAATGTAGAAAATCCTACATTCAGAATTTTAGATAAATAAAATTCTAAAATCTTCATGTTGAAGTATAAACCACTGGGTATACCGATTTATTGGTAGCAATATGTGCTTAAATTAGACTATTGAAGAGGTAATGTGGGGGTTTGCAGCTGCTGTGGGTGTTTAACTTTAACTCTGTCAAAACTTTTATTTAACCAGCTATAGAATAGATAAAAATGCCTACTTCTGTAGTATTAAACAGGTCATTAAAGACATGTTTATTTGAGCTTTACACACTTTGTTTTTGTATTGGAAATTGCTTCACTCCATTTCATACACATTCACCCAAAATTCAGCCTCTTATATTTAGCCTCATGTAAACTTTGGCAGCTCTATCTTTGGCTCGGGGAGTCACTCTATAAGATGATGCAGCTTTACAGGCTGGTTTAAAGTTAAAGTGTATCAGAAAAAAAACAAAAAGCACAAACAGATGTAACTGAGATATGTGTCAGCATTGTGATTCTCTGTCTTTTTGCTCATTCTCTTTATTCATCGTCTTGAACACAGGCAGTAATTATATCACAGTAACAGCGGCACTGGTGGTCTGGTTGATGTAGAAGACAGTGACGACGATGATGATGATGATGATGCCAGCAGTGGTGAAAAAGAGCAAAAAAGTCTGTGTTGTTTTTGCATTTCTGCAGCCTCGCCAGATGACACCTCTCTTTCACACTGATTCAGCTTTTTTCTCTCATTTCTGTCATTCCTATTGTCTGTCTTTCTTACATCTTTCTTTTCTTTTATGATGTTTCTTTTAAAAAAAAAAGTGCTATGACACATCTGACGCCAGTAAGCACCTGAAGTCCAGTCCCAGATCCTGCTTTGACTAGCTGGAAGATGGAGGTTGCGGGACAGGAGGAGGAGGATAAGGAGGGATGGAAGCACAGGAAGGAGGGAGAGGGAGAAAGAGTGGAGCGATAAGGAGGTTTAAAGAAAGCGCTCCCCTCTTAGTGCTGGATCCTCCTGATGGACTGAATCTGAGGAGTCTGGGCGTGGGAGCCAAATTCACGGTAACACTTGTACTCTCCTCCGCGACAGTCGCACTCCATGATGTACTGGTGGCCACGGTAGCCAGGGTACTGGTAGCACACAAAGCTGCAGGAAAACACGCACACAGACACACGCTTAAATCAGGTAAGCAGTCAATGCTTTCTAGTGGCTGTGTGTTTTTCAGCTGTGTGAAGGTGATCTAAAGTGACCGTGAACTTACGCTCCACTCTGAATCTGCATGGATCCAACTTCGTTGTTAAACCAGCCCATGGCCTGCAGGGAGGGGTAATCATCACACATCTCGAACTGACGTCCCATCATGTTCTCCATCTCAAAGATGATCATGCGGGAGTCCTTGTGGTTCTGTGCAAAAGAGAGAAAAAAAGAAGTCTCAGCAGAATTTGAGAATAAGCTGATGTCAGCTAATGGCCGTTATAGTGTGCTGTGTTAACCTACAGCACAGCAGATGGGCCTGAAGGAGATCATTCTCTCAATGCGGTAGGAGTTGCTGCCACTATAAGCCTCAAAGCGGGGGTAGTCTCCCTTCTCCAGGACGAACTGTTGGCCGCAGAAGCTGGAGTGCTCGTAGCCCACCCAGCTGGAAGCCAGAAACAAATGAAAAGAATAATGAGCGCACCTTCTATCTAAACCACCCAAAATCTGAAGGAAAGACACTCCGTTTTAGTTTCTTTAAACAGTTTAAGGGTTTCCAGAAGAGCAAGGAAGCTCATCGGATACGTACGCGCCACACTCCACCTTCAGGGAGCGGATGTTCTCCATCCCACACTCCATGATGTTCTGGCAGCTGGCAGTAAACTCCATACGCCTGCCCTGGAAGTACTCCTGATCGTACACAGTGATCTGCAAAAAGCAAAGAGGGTGAACTGAGTACAGCCTGAACCAGATATTACTGTACATAAACTAAAAACTTGTGCTGCTGCTTGCATCCCTGCAACATGATGTGTAAAGCATATGCTTACCTTCCAAGGGCCCATGGGCATGGGGTTTGTCAAAGCCATGTTGTCCTCTTTTTCAGCAGTACCTGCAGAGTAAAATTACATAAATAGTCGGGAAATGATGTGAGAAGGTCAAAATCACAAAACCTGTGGCTCACTGTTTGCTGTGCCATAAATTTAAAGCCCAGGTTTGTCACACCACTTTAAGCCTCCTGCTCACTCTTCTTTGCTGTTTTCACTTGTTGTTTTAAAATAACTTCCTCATATTATAGTTAATGTAATAAAACAAGGTACACTGGCCTCCTTCTGTTCTCGTAAGACCACCTGTTGTTAGTTGGATTGTTGCATTAGAGGCCTAGGCTACATTACATTCATAGACTGGGAAACTGTGCTGTATTGGTAACTACTTTAACAACTTGGACCTACCCAAACTGGTGAGCTGTGTGTCGCAGGGTTCCACTGAACAGTGTGCGGAGGCAGTGTGGACGGGGGGTATATATACACCCACGGGTGTCAGGGGCCGGGGGGGGGCAGGCATGCCTGGACTCATGTCAGCACTTTGCTTTGGACTCCATTGTTTAGCCACAGAGGGGTTAACACGCAGACACACGGTGATTCATGCAAACACAAAGAGGACCCACGGCTATACTGCGCTACATGCACCTCTGTGGTAAATCTATATGTTAGAGGAAAAAAGAGAGGGTGGCTTTCCACACGGGCATGTGGGTCTATTATGAGATAGGCCCACATAAAAATTCAGCTCAGCGGTGAAATACTTTATGTGGCTGTTTTCTTTGATTTTCAAAGTCATGGTACAAAGGTGGAGGATTAGCAACAGTCTTGTGCAAACCACTGAATCCACTGAAAAGCCAAGTGATGTTTTCTATGATTTCAAATGATATCAGGGCTACTGCCTCACAGCAAGAAGGTCCAAGAAGGCTTGAATCCACCGTCTTTCTGTGATGGTACGTTCACCCCGAGGTTCTCTACGGGTACTCCTGCTTTCCCCCAAAGACATGTGCTGGGGTTAATTTGTGATTACACTATGAAAAGTAAATAATGGTGTCTGGATGTACCCCGGCTCTCACCCTATAGCAGCTGGGATAGGCTCCTGCACCACATGACCCTCAATTGGATAAATGGAAGAAAATGGATGGATCGAGTGATATCTCACAGTTATTACTATTATTAGACTAATCAAACCAGTATAGCCCTGTAATAGACTAGCAACCTGTACAGGGTGTATCCAACCTCTTGCTTAACTAAACCACACTCACACCTAGCTCACACTACTGAAATTCATTATTATTAGGTTGTGCTCAAAACTATCTGAAAAGCTTCCAGTTGATCCAAAGTATTGCAACCAGAGGACTGACAGGAACTAGAAAGAGATAACATGTTTCTCCCATATTGGTCTTGATGGTCGTCACAGTCGTCCAGGTAAGCAAATCCCTGATATTTGACTCTGTCCAACTGGTGGGAGTGGGTCTCCCACTAAAAATGCTAACTCCAGTTGAACAGAATGAACTTTCCAGGTTCTCCCATATTGGCTTCTGCTCAGCGGCTCCCTGTTAACTCCAGAATCAAATTTAAAATCCTATTTATTTATTACTACAGTATGACTCATAGGTGTGTGACTACATGTCCCCCCCCCCCCACACACACACACACACACACACACTGTTAACATTATTACAAGTGCAGTGTGTTAATCAGATGTGAGAATTTAGTTGGTCAAGACTCAGATCAGGAATCTAACTGACCTACTTTTGATGATGGACACAAACTGGATCAACGCTATGAATGCTGGATTTGAAACAGGAAGGTGCTGACATTGTTGGAAAGCTTGAAATCCCAGAAAAGCAAAGCTCTCCGCTTAACTGTTTCTATTTTTATTTTTATGTTTTGTTATGAACGGCAGTACCTATTTCTATTTTTAAAATATCTCTAAGACTGAATAAATCAACAATAAAGGTTAACCGGGGCCAGTGGCACCAGTTCAAAGGCCTGATTGGCAGGTCTGGTAGTGCTTTGGCATTGACTGGTGAGCTGCAACTGGCAGCTTCACTTTCAAATAGTTTGGTGCAGTTGGGTTTTATAACACAAGGGGAATTTTATACAAATTGATCAAGAGATGAAGCAGACAGACTCTTATTTTAATAATTTTATTCTTCCCATTAACCGAAGCATCTTATAGGTTTTTAGACTCTATTTACATTTATTCAAAGTGCCTGAATTATAAATAGTTTTGTTTACATTATTTGTTCCTCACCGTGTCATTAAAAAAGTGAACAACACAGAGCGAAAACAGAGCGAGCAGCTGCTACTGTCCCCCCCTTCTCTCTTCTCTTGCTGCTCTGAACAATAAACATTTAGAAATGGCTTACTGAGGTCAGCACATTGTCCAGACTCTCTGTCTATGTGTGTGTGTGTGTGTGTGTGTGTGTGTGTGTGTGTGTGTGTGTGTGTGTGTGTGTGTGTGCATTCATGTGGATGCCCATGTAATTTCCTGATTAAGGTTATAACAGAGCAAAAGCAAGATACGTGTGCACTTTTTACACATAATACCGCAGTAGGTCCATTTCTGTGAACTTATTTCTGATCAGAGTTGATTTGTTGAGGTCTGAATGTAAGATGGGACAGGGATATATGAACATGTGTGCGTGTGTTTCTGCTGATGATAGCAGCAGCAGCAGCAGCAGCAGCAGCGCAGACTTGACAAAGAGACGAGCAAACTCAGCAGGCTGATGTGAAGAGCCTGCCGTGTCCATATAGTCGACTCTGTGTCACATGCACAGATATCAAAACCTCAGTAGAGCCTTCAGTAGACTCTGAAACCACCTGCTGTCAGCTGTCAAAGCAAACACCTACAAATCTCCTTTGATATTTCTTGAGTGAAAAGTTTTGCCTAGAACATATTTTTCCAAGCTGGGCTTTTTCCAAGCATGAAATCTGGATATTTTCAATTGGAAGTTATTTTATTCCACTCACCTGAATCTTAAAAAATAAAAACCTGTAACAGAAATTATCTCTGCAGTGAATCCTGACTTCCTCTAGGGTGCAACATTTCCATATAAACTCTGAGTTTAAAGGCCTTTTTAATATTAACTTAAAGAATGGTCACAATATTAACAACCCATCACACTGCAGGTGCACACACTGACTCAGGCTCTTCCTGGATCAGGAATCTTTTATACTCTAATCTCTCTGCTGGCATTTTTGCTGCTGTTGTTGTTATTGTGACTGCTGCTAAACTGCCGTTACGGTTGGTTTGGCATCGTTATCGTCACACACAGAGTCACTGCAGAGCTGTGATGGATAGTCATGTGTGACTGAGATCTCCAGTGAGTCATGCAGAGACTTTACATGAATCAGTAGAGAGTGAAAGGAAGACAGAAATAGGATTAAACCCACCCCAGAATGATTTCATTTTTGCCGTTCAAACATCTGAAAACATCTGTTGTTGTTGTTATATATACTAATATTTTCAGTTGTGAAAGAAATACTAAATATCATCTTTGAATAGAAAGATCTATAGTTCCTCAGCATGTCATCATAAGGGGGGTCAGGGGGTTTCTTTTGCAGCTAATGTTAACTACTTTTACTACTTGTACTTCTACTACAACGTAGCTTGCCATCACCAGTGTGTGAATGTGTGTGTGAATGGGTGGATGACTGGACGTGTAAAGCGCTTTGGGGTCCTTAGGGATTAGTAAAAGCGCTATACAAATACAGACCATTTACCATTTTACTTTTCATCAAAACGCTTTGTTGTGAAGAGTGAACTATCTTCTTAACTGCTTTGCACAATGGAAACAGATCATGGTCCTTCAAGATGCCCTATCTTTCACACAGTGCAGCAGCTCATTCTGTGTTTTCTTCGTCCAGACTGATGGTTTTTCGTCTGCTGCTTCTTTTCCCTTCAAATTTTTCCAGATGTAATATCACATTCCAGTCCTCCTGTTCTCATAGTGTGTCCAAAGAATCTTGCTTCTCTTGCTTGTCTCTGATGTTCTTACATAGTGATCTTTTGGTGTTTGCTTTTTTAAAGACTTCTTCGTTAATCAGTTCAGGTCTATGATATTCACGTCTCTGCTGCATTGATAATCTCAATAGCTTTCTAGTTCATTGTCCATGCTTTGCTTCCATGTGTAGGCATCTTCGACTCTTTCTTGTGTTGAAGGAAATTTGTCAGTTAAATTAAATGTTTGTTAGCTTAGATTCACTTCAGTTTTATTTACAGGGAGTGCAGAATTATTAGGCAAATGAGTATTTTGTCCACATCATCCTCTTCATGCATGTTGTCTTACTCCAAGCTGTATAGGCTCGAAAGCCTACTACCAATTAAGCATATTAGGTGATGTGCATCTCTGTAATGAGAAGGGGTGTGGTCTAATGACATCAACACCCTATATCAGGTGTGCATAATTATTAGGCAACGTCCTTTCCTTTGGCAAAATGGGTCAAAAGAAGGACTTGACAGGCTCAGAAAAGTCAAAAATAGTGAGATATCTTGCAGAGGGATGCAGCAGTCTCAAAATTGCAAAGCTTCTGAAGCGTGATCATCGAACAATCAAGCGTTTCATTCAAAATAGTCAACAGGGTCGCAAGAAGCGTGTGGAAAAACCAAGGCGCAAAATAACTGCCCATGAACTGAGAAAAGTCAAGCGTGCAGCTGCCAAGATGCCACTTGCCACCAGTTTGGCCATATTTCAGAGCTGCAACATCACTGGAGTGCCCAAAAGCACAAGGTGTGCAATACTCAGAGACATGGCCAAGGTAAGAAAGGCTGAAAGACGACCACCACTGAACAAGACACACAAGCTGAAACGTCAAGACTGGGCCAAGAAATATCTCAAGACTGGTTTTTCTAAGGTTTTATGGACTGATGAAATGAGAGTGAGTCTTGATGGGCCAGATGGATGGGCCCGTGGCTGGATTGGTAAAGGGCAGAGAGCTCCAGTCCGACTCAGACGCCAGCAAGGTGGAGGTGGAGTACTGGTTTGGGCTGGTATCATCAAAGATGAGCTTGTGGGGCCTTTTCGGGTTGAGGATGGAGTCAAGCTCAACTCCCAGTCCTACTGCCAGTTTCTGGAAGACACCTTCTTCAAGCAGTGGTACAGGAAGAAGTCTGCATCCTTCAAGAAAAACATGATTTTCATGCAGGACAATGCTCCATCACACGCGTCCAAGTACTCCACAGCGTGGCTGGCAAGAAAGGGTATAAAAGAAGAAAAACTAATGACATGGCCTCCTTGTTCACCTGATCTGAACCCCATTGAGAACCTGTGGTCCATCATCAAATGTGAGATTTACAAGGAGGGAAAACAGTACACCTCTCTGAACAGTGTCTGGGAGGCTGTGGTTGCTGCTGCACGCAATGTTGATGGTGAACAGATCAAAACACTGACAGAATCCATGGATGGCAGGCTTTTGAGTGTCCTTGCAAAGAAAGGTGGCTATA